CTCAAGCGCTCATCGAAAACCCACATGCCATAAAAACCTGGCAGCCTCAACCCCCTAAAACCTCAAGCAAGCCGGGCGTACATACTTCTTTGGCCTGGCGGGGCTTGCTTGGAGGTTCATGGGTGGTTATAAGTAGGGTTTTTTCGGCATGGTAGTTATACTTCAAACCCTACTTATAACCCCACCTCGGGTACTTACTTATAACCTTACTTATAGCTACCCATGGACCTCCAAGAGGGTTCAGCTTGTAGGGTCTCCGCGTCGGGCTCTGCCTCTCTGCGCCAATTTTCCACTTATCCTGCCTTGTAGCTCGGTTTCTAGACCACCACCCTGCAACCCGAAACTTTTTTTTGGAGCCTACACCCTAAACCCTAAACCCTAAACCCCAAACCGAAAGCCCTAAAGCGATGAGGCTGGAACGCTCTCAAAACCCCAGGTAAAAGCACGCCGCTACTGTCTCAAACGTCTGCTTCTTTGGGAGCTTCGTGAAAGCTTCTAATCTCAGCTTAGGGTTTTAGGGTTTAGGGTTTAGGGTTTAGGGTTTAGGGTTTAGGGTTTAGGGTTTAGGGTTTAGGGTTTAGGGTTTAGGGTTTAGGGTTTAGGGTTTAAAATGTTCAGGGTTTAAGGTCTACGCCTAGTGCATCTGGTGGCTTCACATCGTCCCGGCGATGAATTCCTCTTTCCCGGCTAAATTACCCGGGAAATGTCTGAACATTCAGGGTTGTTGAAACGTTTCAAAAACCATTTAGGGTTCTTTAACGTGAAAAAACCATTTAGGGTTTTTTTTAAACGTTACAAAAAAAAAACCTCCTCGTTCTGAAAATAAACTCGTCTTAAACAGCGTCCTCTTCATGCCAAGAGAGACAGTTTAGAGGCGCATATGTGCATGCATACGGTGTAGGTGCATGCATGTGCGTATCATCCCGTGGTCGCCAGGACTAAGCGGCGTGACAGCGTGAACTGCTTTGTTCCGAGCTCCCCACGACCCTGTCGGCTTAAACCCGCAACCCTGCAAGCCCCAACTACTTCAACAGACCTGCAATTCCCATACCCTAGGGCCCTCAAACCGAACCCCACTAGTTCACCTTCAACCTACTACCAACGAAGGGCCGACCTCGCAAGCTCGGGTCTAGGATCTCCCAAGACTTCAGGGCTTCGGGTTTAAGTCGTATTTGACTTCGGCTTCAGGGTTGAGGCTTAGTTATGGCATTTAGGGCACTGAACCTGAGGGAAGTGAAGCTGGAGGGCTTCGGGGCTTGGAGGGTAGAGGATCGCACAGAAAGCCGCAGCACTCTGGTGACAACAGAATCCTCAAGAACCTTGCGCACGTGACCCGGAAATCCTGTCCCTTCTTGGTTTGCCTCATCTTCGACTTGTAGCCCTCGTCGTCGAACTCGTAATGCGGGATCGGATCGAACTGCTTCAGGAGCTTTACCGCACGGTTGCGCTCCTCAACGTGACAACGGCCGCAAGCAGATTCCAGCATGTAGCTACTCTTCGGGCGCGAGTCTGGGGCTGAGGAGTATGGGTACGAGCACGGAAAACCACCTGCTTGTTGCGCAAGAGTGGCAACACCTGCCCCTTTCCCCCTCACTCCGAAAGCTCCCCACCCTCCTAAAGAACTATGTGTGCTTTGCAAATGTGGCGAAGATTCTCAACCATTGACACTTTCAACTTTAATTGCAAGTCGGATGAACTTTCCTAAGATGCACAAGCTTCAACTACGAATCTATCTTGTAATGCTACACGGCAAAAGAATCTAAATGGCTCACTAACAAGCCAATCTTCTGCTATCATTGTTTAAAGAATGTTTTGATTTCGTGAAAGGTGGCATGACCTTGCGTGAAACCTTCGCCTTTTGCCACACAGCTTGCTTTTGCCGCGAGAAAAGGCATGAACTTATGTGTGCGTCGTTTACGTTTATGCGTTTTTCCGCAGCGAGGCTGCACATATATAGTAAGATGCTAAGCTCAACAGCTTGCTTGGTTTGCTTCGGGGGAACCTGGCATAGTGCTTGTCATAGATCTGATTGTCGATACGTGTTTGAGTCCTGCAGGAGCTTTTTAGCGGGACGATCCTCAAGTGTGACTATGGGTGCAGCTTGTGCAGCTCGCACAGCATCGAGAAAGAAACTGGCCGTCGAGTTTGAACATGAGCGATATATCTTGTGCTCTACACCCTAAACCACCCGAAATCCGAGACACTAAACCCTCAACCCTAAACCCTAAACCCTAAGGCCCTAAACCCAGGCTGCCCTGAACGCTGTTCTGCCGGGCCTTGCTCGTCTTCGCGCTGCCGAGGACATCGGTGAGCTCCTGCTTCGTCAGGGACGTGCTCTTCACCTTGGATTCGGTGGGGGCGAGGGTTCCACAGTGACCAACAGCAGGGCGCCCTGCTTCCGCCTAAAGGGGTTCAGAAAGGATCCTAGAATCCTAACCCTAAAGAAAGGGACGAGGGGAACAACTTTAGGCGCTGCAGATGCGCTGGATATACCGACACATGCACTTGTGGGGACAGCTGTCGTCCGGATCGTGACGTGGCCCGAAATAGCCTGGAGCATCCGCTGCACATGCTCAAACAACCTCCTGACGACCTTTTCACCTCCGCAGCTTGTCCCCTCTGAAGGAGAGCTGCTCCTCCTCCACCCTGAACCCTCAACCCTACACCCTGAACCCTCAGGGCTAGGATTACGTCCCCAGCACGCAGAAGTCTCAGCACCGGACCATGCTTGCCCACACTGGTCCGCAGGGGGCTGGATACCAAATACTTCTTGAGCCCAGGAGTGAGGCGAAGAGCGTCGGAGGACTCCAGGGGTCAAGGAAGATGCTACTTGCGGGCACCTGTGGGTTTGCAAGGCTACACCGGGACGCCATGGAAGAGCTCTGCTCTTCATGGTTGACGGCTTAGGGAGATGAGAGGAGTTCCGGTCAGGAGCCTCGATGCGATCCATGCCATCAATGAATAGGTCTCCCTAAGACGTGCCGGGCAGTTCCTCAGCAGCCGTCGGGGGACAACCGCACGATTTCGCGAGGTTTGGGTTCCATCCAGAAGGTGTGATGTATAGCCTCACATGGAAGTAGGGTTGCTTAATTCCTGGCGTCCCCGCACACCCCACAGACACTCACCAATACTTGATAGTGAACCCTACATACACTCACCAACAACAGGAATACAAACCCTGCTCGATGTGGGGTGGAGGGGGCTTTCAGTATAAAAGAAGCCCCCCAAAAAAGGAACTCTTATCATAGCAGGAAGAGGCGCTAAAAACGATGGTCTCGCAAGTTCAAGTTGTTTAACAAAATGACTAGGGCCTGAGGTTTCGGGCTCAGGGACTTGGACACGAGCACGCCAGCTGTTTTCTTGCGGAGCCTCTGTACTTCGGGCGCCGCCTCAAGAAGCCCGTTGCCACTTCGAGAGAAGCCAGACCTCCAACATCCCTGAGCGAAGGCTCCCCCCACAAACCCCAAACCCTGAGTCAAGGCTGTGATTTAAGGTTTAGGGTTTAGGGTTTTTAGGGTTTAGGGATATGGAGCTTAGGTTTTGGGAGTTGAGGGTTTTTCGTTCGGGGGTAGACGGATTAGGGTTTGTTCAGGTGCTCTAGGCTTCAAGGACCCCCTTCCTCTGATGCTGGAGGTTCTGCCTCGCGCTGTAAATGCAACCCGCTCACCCTTGAGGAGAGGCGCGCGCTCCTTAGGAGGCAAGGCCCAGGGTTGTCCCAGTTTGGGCTTTGGGAGCTCAGCTTGGGGGCCCACCCATGACCGCCTTGAGACTGGGAACTTCGGGTTTTTTGAGGCTGACTCCCCACCCCAAACCTGCGTGGCAACTCGGGCGTCGCAGACTTTAGCCTAACGCCTCAAAAGACAAAAGGAGCGCCGGTCACAGCTCAACGAAGAAGAGAGACCCCGGGACCCTTAAACCCTCTAAACCCAGACCCTCCCAACCCTCCAGACCCTCCAGACCCTCCAAACCCTCTAAAGCCTCTAATCCCTCGAGACACCGGATCCCAGCCCACGGCTCCCAGGCTTTTTGGCCTTTGGGGCTTCGGGGTGTTGGCGTTTTAGGGTTTTGGGGTTTGCGGGTTTTCGGTTTTTGGGATTCTAGGTTTTTCGGGGTTTCAGGGGTTTAGGGCTTTGGATGCTTAGGGTCGTGCAGGCCTGCACACCAGGAAGGCCCCCGGAAACTCGAAGCCTTAGAGCCCTGTAAACCCTCGACGCGAAAAATGACTCTTCGGAAGGCTTAGGGGTTTGGGGTTTACGGCTAGGGTTTAGGGTTTAGGGGTTTAGGGTTTAGGGCTAGGGTTTAGGGTTTAGAGGTTATTCTAGGGTTCGGGGTGTTAGGGTTTGAGGGCCAGGCGCGCCGAGGCCCGCACTGGGAACTCACTTGGTCACCCCGACCTTGGCCGCCCGAAGCGTGCGGTCGTGGATCATGTACCCGGGCCTCGGCTCAGGTTTCGGGTTTAGGGTTTGGGGCTTAGGGTTCAGGGTTTGGGGCTTAGGGTTTGGGGTTTGGGGTTTAGGGTTTAGGGTTTAGGGTTTAAGGTTCAGGGTTTCAGGGTTTAGGGTTTAGGGTTTAGAGCGGCTCGGCTTTGGGGCTTTCGTGGTGTTGCCTTCTGAAAAGGGCACTGTGGGGTTTTGGGTCGGGGTATGTCGGGGTGGCTTATACAGAGGCTCTTCATGGCCTTCTTCCCGCAGTAGGTCCAAGCTGATTCCCGCAAGCAATGCATTCGATACAGGACCTTTTTTGTCTCGTCGGAACACGCTGAAAGAGCTGGCTTGGCCAAGCTATGTGGGGATGTGGATACTCTGGGATGGGCACTCCTGGACACTCTAGGGATACTCCGGGCGGGGATACTCTGGGCTTGGGCACTCTTGGGACACTTTGGGCATACTACGGGTGATGGGCGAACAGCAGACCAGGCGAGGAGAAGAGCTTAGCTTAACATCTAACAACCCCACACCGAGGTTGGGAAAGGACCATCCTTCTTTGCACAAGTCCACTGGCTAGTTGCCAGGTTCATTGCTGGGTTCGTTGCTGAGCTCGTTGCTGGGCTCGTTGGTGGGTTCAGTGCTGGGTTCTGGCTGCTTGCGCTCATGGATCGTGCAAGTCCAGTTTTCCACCACAAGGACGTGGCCTCCGCCAGCACCCACCGTATATTCCATCCGGTAGCAACAGCCTGGCTTCGCCAGGCGCACCACATCTTCCGAGCCAGACAGAGTCAGAGGTGGAGGCTGTGGGCCATGCTGGTAGCCGTTCGTCCTGTACGTCCCATAAAGGTTTCGGCATGCCAGCACGGTGTCGCCTTCCAGCAAAGTGAGGTATAGGTTCCCCTTGCAATTTCCCCAGCCTTGGTCCTTGAAAGTGCCAACTGCAACTTCAATCTTGCCCACTGGGTGCCGAATCTTTTTAGAGCTTTCTGCCGTCTGGCGCGAATCTGTATTCTTTCTGTCACGGATTTCCTTCACCTGGACAACATGCACTGTTGGCTCAGGAGGAGGCTCGCACTCATAGATCGCGCAAGTCCAGTTTTGGACCTCAAGCACGTGGCCTCCACCAGCACCCACCGTATATTCCATCCGGTAGAAACAGCCTGGCTTCGCCAGGCGCACCACATCTTCGGAGTCAGACAGGGTCAGAGGCGGAGGTTGTGGGCCATGCTGGTAGCCGTTCGACCTGTACGTCCCATAGAGGTTTCGACATGCCAGCACAGTGTCGCCTTCCAGCAAAGTCAGGTAGAGATTCCCCTTGCAGTTTCCCCAGCCCTGGTCCTTGAAAGTGCCAACTGCAACTTCAATCTTGGCCACTGGGTTCTGAATCTTTTGAGAGCGTTCTGCCGCCAGGCGCGCATCTGAATTCTTTGTGTCACGGATGCTCTCCACCTGAAAAACGTGAACTGGTGGCTTGCTGACATCATTCTCGCGGCTCTCTCTTGGTGCGGAGGCACCACAGCCCATTGGAAACCATATATTCGAAAGATGCACCAAAGGACTCAGACTGAACCAAAAACGGGGCGTCGCATGGTGCGAAACTGCCGGGCACAGGGCATCTCTTAGCTCTTAGGCAACCCAGGCCTGTAAAACGGGAATCCGAAGAGAAACCAACAAATCCTGCGAAAAGCACCTCCAACGAAAAAGGCTTCAAAAAAACTCAAGAGCCCTGAAACCTAAACCCTTTCAACCCGAAGCCTCTAAGCCCCCAAGCCCCTAAGCCCCTAAGCCCCTAAGCCCCTAAACCCCTAAGCCCCTAAGCCCCTAAACCCCTAAACCCCTAAACCCCTAAACCCCTCAACCCCTAAACCCCTAAACCCCTAAACCCCTGAACCCCTGAACCCCTGAACCCCCTCAGTCAGAGGCTCCCCCACAAAGACCAAGCAGACCCGAGGCTCCGGCTCCATGACGTGGAAAATCTTGTTGGGCTCCTCGTGGGGTTTGGGGGCTGATAGGGGTTATGGGTTTATGGGGTTTAAGAGGACGTTTAGAGATGTTTCTAGGGTTTGTCGCGTTTATAGATGCTTCCAGGGTTTAAACCCTAAACCCTAAACACTTATCGGGCGCTTAGTCGGGGATTGTTGCTGACTCAGGATGCTGTTGGCCCAAGGAATCTCGAGTCTCAGGGAGGGCTTCGCTTGCCGGGCCTCGGCCCTCTCTGACCCTCCTCCCTAAAGCCTGAACCCTAAACCTCTGCGACTCCACCTAGGTCGGCCCTTGAAACTCTTGGGAAAGTAAGAACCTCTTCGGCCCCATCTGGGAAAGCAACCCTTAAACCCTAAACCTAAAGAACTTCGGATAGCCTGGGCTCTTGCTTGGGCTTTGGGGGCCTGAGGCTTTTCTTTGGGGGATTGAGGCTTCTCTTTGTGCTCTCAAGACGTGAGGAAGGGTTTCAGGGCTCAGGGCCGAGGACAAGGCACTTCTTCAGGCTACCAGACACGCACGCGAAATCTCACACAGAAACCGCCATCCACACCCAGCTGGATCCTTGCCCGGCATCTCCATGGCAAACATCGCCTCGTGGTGTGCCGGATCAAAGTCGGCATCCAGCGCCTGCGGACACCGGCGGCCATCTATGGGGGTCAAGGGCTCACAAGGTTCAGACGCCGGGTTTTCAAGAGCTTGCAGGCTGAGAAACCCGAATCCTGTAAACTTCTACAAACTCCAACGACCAGCTAAGAGCCTTGTAGCCCCGGACCCCAAACCCAAGGCCTCGTGAACGAGTTGCGGAGGGTTCCTAGAGGCCCTCGGGTCGAAGGGCGTAGGAGTTTACAGAAGGGTGGTGGTGCTTCCGGCCCTGCAGTGGGCTTCATGGCACCTGTCGTATTGAATTTTATGCGTGTGTATTGCACATCTCTTTGTTCGTTTCTGATGTGCATCCGACAAACCACCATACTTCTGGCTTGTGAAGAAGGCTTCGAACTCCGCCGGAACTCTTCCCGCATGCAGGCAAAGGGCTTACGGTCCAGGGTTTGTCTGAAACGTCAGCCTCAGGCTGAGATACCACGACCATGAAGCCCGAAATTCCCCCCCAAACTACCCTAAACCCTAAACCCTAAACCCTAATCCCTATCCCCAATCCCACCAAACCGCAGCTCGATGAACCGAGGACCTTCCCAATCCCAGCCAGCAAGACGGCCCGTACCTCTTGGAGGCTTTTATGGGTAGTTATAAGTAGGGTTTATCTGGGTAGTTATAAGTAGGGTTTAGGGGTAGGCATAAGTAGCAGGGTTCATGGGTGGTTATAAGTAGGGTTGATGGGTAGTTGTAAGTAGGGTTTATACGCATGGGAATTTATACGTCTAACCCCACTGAGGGTACTCATAACCCTACGAGTACTTATAGCTACCCATGAACCTCCAAGTATGGCTCCATCACAAAGCGCCCCCATGCCTGCCTTCATCTTGGTGATGCCGAATTTGGCAAGGGCCTCCTCGACGGTATGTCGGACCTTCTTAACCTGGTCCACTTGCGCATTTGGGGGGGGGAGGGGGGGGGGGCGGGGGCGGGGCGCATGCTGAACCATAAGCCCTACAAGCCGAAAGAAGCCTCAACGCCTCAACCTCTTAACCCTACACACTCGAACACCCTTAGCCCCCCGTCAACCCAAGAGTCTTCACCCCCAGACCATGAACCCTCCACCCCAGACTCAAGCCTCAAACTATCAACCCTCGTAGAGCCTTGCGATATATATATATATATATATACATATTTTTCCCTTCAATCCCATCTGTCTTCCCCAAATCTCGTGTCCCTCCGCCCACTCACCCAACCGCCCACCCCGACCAAACTACCAAACTCTAAACTCAGAAAGTTCGAGGCATGGAGACAAACACAGATATACCATAACAAAAAACCTGTATAAATCCTGTATAAAACCAGATAAAACCCAACCCTGAAATCAGAAAAAGCCGAAAACAACCTGAAAACAACCTGATATTCAATTTCGAGGGGAGGGGGCGAGGACTGGGAGCGAGGGGAGGGGGCTCTTGTGTTCCTTAGGAAAAACGTGAAAAAAACGCGAAAAAAACGCGAAAAAAAGTGAACAGAACGTGAAAAAAACCCAATCAAAACCCCAAAAAAACCCCCACCCCACCCCTTCCCTTGCCCTCCCCCTCCTCACTCCCCCCCCCCCCTAACCCCCCCCCCCCAACCCCCCCCCTATGCAGGTGAGGCGGGGCGCCAAAGCCATGGTCTATGTCTCGTAGCATGTGCTTGGTTGCCGCCTTTTTTTGCTGTTTTTTCAGGTTTGTCTTAGGTTCTTAGCGGGTTTCTCCGAACCCAAGCCATAGGTGAATTTTGGTTTTTTTTTTAATGAGCCGATTTGGGCATCTCCATTGGATCGGTCCTTTTAACTCTAAACCTAAGGATTCCGCTATCTAAAGCAGCACCGTTGCTCTTCTACTTTGTGGACTTCCTTTGGCGAACATGTTGACCATGATCCAGTTTAATTATGTTAGGGTGGCTTTTGCTCCCCCCATAAAAGGACACAGACACAGACCGCCCCCGCCCCCCCCTTCCCTAAACCCCCCCTCCCCCACTCCGCGTTTTGGGAGTTTCCGAAAACAGGGATACCCGTTGTCGTTGGGAGTTCCTAGAGTCAGAATTTCAGTATTTTGTGGGGGGAATCTGAGGGGCATTTTCTGTTTTGGGAAACCATTTGGTCAATTCTCTGAAATGTGGTCCTCTTCGGGCTATGATGCTAAGGCGGCCCCGAATATTTGGGTTACCCAAAAAAGGGACCATCATTTTGAGAACTGACCTTGTAGAGTGAGGGTTCAGGCCTGAGCTCCAGCTCAATTCTGGAAAACCTTCTGGGCTCCGGAAGCAAAGAACTTCCTGAGGTCCCGGCGCCTTCCACTTCCTTCCTCAGCTCCTCCGCGTTAGGCTTTTGTCGTTAGTTTAGGGTTTAGGGTTGAGGGTTTAGGGTTTAGGGTTTAGGGCTTAGGGCTTAGGGTTTAGGGTTCAGGGTTTAGGGTCGGAACACGCTAGACTCTAAGTGCCAAAAAACTCTGAACTCTACACCCTAAACCGTAAACCGCTAAACTCGGAGGTCCCCACTCACATGCATGGACGAAGCCTGCGCTTAGGGTCTAGGGTTTAGGGTCTAGGGTTTAGGGTTTAGGGTTTAAGGTTTAGGGTTTAGGGTTTAGGGTTTAGGGTTTAGGGTTTAGGGTTTAGGGTTTAGGGTTTAGGGTTTAGGGTTTAGGGTTTAGGGTTTAGGGTTTAGGGTTTAGGGTACAAACTCCAAAGCCAGTCCTCGCTTTCATCGAGCTCGTCTGTCTTGACGCTGTCGATGGCTCTTTCCAGGTTGTCCGGAACGTGGAGTAAGCTTAAGGCCTTTGCTTCCCATTCTGGGGATTGGGGCTTAAGGGTTAGGGTTTAGGGTTTAGGGCTTAGGATTTAGGGTCTAAGTTTAGGGTCTAGGGTTCTGGGGCCAAGTCAGAGCATCTGCTCAATCACGAAGTGCAATATGATCCACATCCGACGTTATTGTCCAGTCCACCCCGAAGCCCTCCTGACGATGCCATGCTACGAAGCGCACCCGTACGACGCTTGATGCACTGGATTAGGGTTTAGGGTTTAGGGTTTAGAGTTTAGGGCTTAGGGTCTAGGGTTTAGGGTTTAGGGTTTGGAAGGACCGTGACACCACGCAGTTTCGTTGAACATGGCACGCTGATTTCCCATGTCTCGACCACGTTTTTACCCATCTTCAGCTGACAAACAACCCCCAGCATCCAAACACTAAAGTTAAAGTGCAACACCAAAGAATACACGCCTTCGGCGCACGCTAGAGCGCTTCGTGACAGGCGTTGTTCGGCTGAATACGCGGTGTTTGAAGTTGGTCTAGGGGTGTCCCATACCAGGTAGTCTGAGACCTCTTACTCCCAAACCAGCTCGACAATATGCAAGGAGGCAGGGCCCAGATTCCGAAAGTGGGGCCGTAAAGACAGCCGCAGGAACATCATCTGGCCCGAAAGAAGCCCTCTCTCTGCAGCAGCGTAGGCGAGCCCTAACTCGAGGATCCCAAGCGAATGAGGACCCCGAGATTCCAAAAACTAGACTCGAATCCCCAAGCCTAGACCCAGAAGCTTAAACTACGTTCGGAAGGATCTACAAGACACTCACACCCAGTTTCGGACTTGCGGCAAGAAGGCCCAACCCAACAGCCCTTGAAACATCAACAAGCACGTGGCGGGCTGGGCCATGGGCAAACTTGGTGTAAGCGTACTTGGTATCATTATCCAGATCTTGGCTATGCCTGTGCAAGAGCACTGAGTCCCGTTAGGTTAGAGTGTGGGATCCAGTGCTAAGGGCTAGACCCGCGCCTACTGGGTCAGTATGTCTATGTATGAAGCTTAAGAAGCATAGGGTCCGGGCGTTTAAGGGCTTGTTGTTAAGGGTTGTGCGTTTAGGAGTGGGCGGAGGAGAGTTCTAAATACAAGGTGGTGGGAATTGTGAGGCAATCGCAACAGGAAGAGTAGGCCGCTTGTTTTTTTTCGTTACAGCAGGCTAATTTCGACAGCTGAATCCAGGAGTCTGACCATGCACGGCCTCAAAAAGTAGCACCCGCAACAAAAACAAGCTTCAAGCCCTGTAATTGAAGCAATGAAACTGTTGATAAATTATGGTGCTGATTTAGATCAAAATGCAAGAGCGAATCTCGGGAACAACACACGCAGTCTCAGAGCAAGGCAGCAAGAGAAGAACACGAGCCAAACCCAAACCGCCCGAAGCCCACGCCGCTGCACCACCGTGCCTGCGAACCGCCTGCTGCAGGTCCTCGGCTCGGAGGGCAGGACACGAATTCAACTAAGGAGGGTTTAGGGAAAGTTTTAGGGCTCAAGCTGGAGCCTTGAGCTTTGGCTGTGGTGAGGGACTGGTTCAGGGTTCCGGCTTGAGGGCAGTTGAGGCCAGACACGCATCCTGAACCATGTCCCGGCGAGCCTCCAACCCCGAATCCCTCAATGCCCACAAACCCCGCAACAAATTCCCAAGAGCCCCCATTGCCAGACTAGGAGACATCCAAAAGTACCTCTTCCCAAGCAGTGGGGCTTCGGGCTGGGGACCCTTCAGCCCTGAACGTCCTGCACGCCACATCCAGAATGCTGTTCCTTCAACAATACACCAAGAAACCGCCTCTGAACCCCAATAGCCCCGTAACTTTAAGCACCTCTAAACCCCAAAGGCCCCGCAACTTTAAGAACCCGCAGGTCGCTCAGACGCAGCCATGGCTCAGCTTTGCTGGCTTTGAGCTTCTCGTCGAGCTCTTGTAGCTGAGCGTGGGCCTCTCTGCCGGCGAACGGGGGCTGAGGGGTTTGGGGGGCCTTGGGGGGGCTTGTGGGCTTAGGGCTTGGGGGGTTTAGACGGTTAGGGGTAAAGTTTCGGGTTTAGATCAGGGATGCACCGACCCCCACGTGGACACAGCTCCTGGTCGTCGCGAGGGTTCGTCGTCACAAAGCACCACCACCAGAACCCACGAAACTCAACACTGGCGAGGTCTTCAATTGGAACATCTTGGGTTTACCCTGAAAGACAAAGGCGGCCGGACTACAACCGAGCAAAACGTCTCGTTCGACAGCAGAAGCAGCGACTGACACATGCAAAGCTTAAAGCCAACGCATGCAGCTGAGACTAAGCTTTGGGAAAGAGGGCCTCCTCACGGCTTGCTTAAGTTCAGGATTCAGGACTTCAGTCCCATCCACACTCGTCTTCAAGTCTCCGAGGTCTTTCAAACAGAGTGCGGCAGACATGCAGACTAAACAGGTCGGAAGCAGGCCCCCTCCGTAGCTACAGTTGCTGTATGATTCCGGGAATCGGGCTCAGCACCTAGACCCTGAACCCTGAACCCTGATCCCTGAACCCTAAATCCTAAACCCTGAACCCTAAACCCTGAAACAGGCCCCAAGATGGCCTCTGCGATCTTTTCTCGGAGCTCCTCCAGATCTGGGGCCTCTGCCTCGCGGCTTGGGGCGGCTTGGGGCTCTTCAACTTCATATTGCACTTGAATATGATACAAGAATGTAGTGTTTTTTAAATACCTAGCATAGCATAGCAGAGCATAGCAGAGCAGAGCATAGCATTTTAGAGCAGAGAATAGCAGAGCAGAGCATAGCAGAACGCAATGATGCTTCCCGGTTTAGGAGTCAGGGCTTTCTTTCTTATGGGCGGCGCAGGCCTCAACATTTTATAACAAGGAACGCTCGAGGGAAGGGAACCCTCCCTCCTCGCGCCCGAAACCCTACGCCCTGAAGAGGTTCAGGTGCATAGTTTAGAGTTGGGGTTCAGGCTTAAATCCTAAACCCTAACCCTAACCCTAAACCCTAAACCCTAAACCCCTCTACCCTAAACCCTAAATCCTTAAGAATTCAGAGTTTGAGGTTTTGGGTTGAGGGGTTCGGGTACCCTCAAACCCTATCCCACCCACCTCGGGCTCCGCAGCTAGGCGAGGCACGGAGGTTGAAATGAAACGTGCCAGCGGCCAGGGTGCAGGTCCTTGGCGGGGTTTAGGGTTTAGGGTTTAGGGTTTGGGGTTTGGGGTTTAGGGTTTAGGGTTTAGGGTTTAGGGTTTAGGGTTTGGGGTTCAGGGTTTAGGGTTTGGGGTTCAGGGTTTAGGGTTTAGGGTTTAGGGTTTAGGGTTTAGGGTTTAGGGTTTAGGGTTTGGGGTTTAGGGTTTGGGGTTCAGGGTTTAGGGTTTAGGGTTTAGGGTTAGGGTTTAGGGTTTAGGGTTTAGGGTTTAGGGTTTAGGGTTTAGGGTTTAGGGTTTAGGGTTTAGGGTTTAGGGTTTAGGGTTTAGGGTTTAGGGTTTAGGGTTTAGGGTTTAGGGTTTATATAGGGTTTAGGGTTCAGGGTTCAGGGTTGAGTTCGGGTGGCGGGCTGAGCGTTGAGGGGCCTTAGGGGCTTGAGGGTTCTCTGGGCTTTGGGTTTACAAAAGATATGGGGGGCACATGAACCCTAAACGAAGAGAGATAAAGACGGTTTGGGTTATGTGAACCCAGGTTTATGGTTCAGAGTTCAAACCAGGGTTTGGTTTAGGCTAGAGCCCACTTCTCAAGGCCCCAACATCCAAATCCCTGCGTCTTCTGCCCTTTAATATCCCTTAATCCTAAACCCTCAGCCCTGAACCCTAAACCCTCGAAACTCGAAACCCTAAACCCTAACCCTAAACCCTAAACCCTAAACCCTAAACCCTAAACCCTAAACCCTAAACCCTAAACCCTAGCCCTAAACCCTAAAACCCCTTAAACCCCCCCCAAACCCCACGGGAGCGCGGGCTGACAGCGACAGCGGCCGGTGGCTGGGGAAGAGCCCAAGACTTCCTGGCATCAGGGCATTGAGAGCTTAGGGCTCTACTTGGAGGTTCATGGTACTTTTTAACCAATTCTAACTGTACTTATAACCCCCTTATAAGCCCCTGAAGTGCCCTTAGATGGTGAGCATTGGGCTTTTGGGGCTCTGGGGTTGCAAGGCTCCTTGGTAGCCCCCAGTGACCATAATCTCACAAGGGTGCCTTGGGGCTGGTTGCTTTGCAAGGGAACCTTGAACCAGAAAGAGGGCCAAAGGGTACCACTGGGAGTTAAAGCCTTTGGGCGTCTTGAGCTTTAGGGCTTGTTGGGCTTTTAGGTCTCCTGCTCCGGTTGTGACTGGGATGTCACGAGGCCCGCCCACGAAGTGCGGAAAGACATGCAGAGTCAAACACCCTAAGCCCAACTCTGGACCTCTGAACAACTGAAGACCCCAAACCCAAAACCCTGAAACCCTAAAAACCCTAAAACCCTTAGACCTCTTAACAACCGAAGACCCCAAACCCTAAAACCCTCAAATTCCGCAGTCGCAGACAACCTGGCCAGGCCTCGAAAGAAACCGCCGCGCCACGACCGGAAGCCCCCGGTGCATCGCGGACCGGGGCCTGGCGCCAAAAAAGCTGTGCAGTTTAGGGCCTTAGGGTTTAGGGTTTAGGGTTTAGGGTTTGGGGTTTGGGGTTTAGGGTTTAGGGTTTTGGGTTTAGGGTTTAGGGTTTATGGTTTTGGGTTTCGGGTTTAGGGCTTCGGGTTTAGGGTTTAGGGTTTAGGCATAAAAGAGGGACCCTTACCATGGACCTGGGGGATGACATAAGTCGTTTTGAAGGCTACTTGAATCAACAAAATCTTTCTTAGCCAGTAGGATTCAGGGTCCCGGGGTCCAATTTTTCCCTCAAGAGTAGGGCTTGAGGGCTGAAATGCTCCGAGCCCGGCCCGCAAAACCCCAAACCCGCATGAACACCAAATGCCAAGCCCACCTGAACATCCGGACCCTCCAAAACTCCCAAGCCAAACCCTCTTCAACGCAACCCCAACTCCTCCATGTTGCCGAGTGGCTGATGTTGAAGCCAGGCAATGGACTTCCCAATCCCACGCAGTCAAAACTTCGGCTCGGTCTATGAGATATTGCGCAACCCCTCAACGGAAACTTATGAAAATCAGCAAAGCTCTGCTGACAAATGTCTGCTGCATGTCTGGAGCAGCAAAAATTGCACATGTCACGGCACGATCTTGTGCTGCTGAGCCAGACCACCTTACTCAGGATCGCGAGAAAGCTGGCGGCGCTATGTCCAAGCTGGCACTACATGGCCCAAGCAGCTGATGGCTCTGGAGATGAGTCGCTTCAGTTGTTTTTTTTCCGATTTTCTGCCCGTGAGATCGGTGCGGAACTCCGTGAACATGGGCCAAGCACCCATCGATCTTCGGAGTTGCAGAAGCAAGCGGCACTGAGCCTCGTTGCTGCATAAGGACCGCCGCTGCAGCAAAAAATGCGAAAACAACAGGAGAGTTCTCCCCGAAAATTCTTGTCACTCCCTACGCCAATCTGACAGGCCAGCATTACTTCAAGCATGGGTTTGCTGCAGCTGCTTGTGAAAGCAATCTTGTTCCCCAGAGAACGGACGCGCAGTCAATCCTGGATGTCCATCCAATAACCCAGAGTAGCCATAACGTGGCACCCCTGCTTCATGCCTCTAGACGTATCTTTTCGCCGAAAAAGGTTCTTCTGGGGCCTTCTTCAAATGCTCAGACGGCACCTCCCACCATGCCCTCTCTACACAACCACGACGAAGTCCGAGCTGGAGTCGTCCTTGGCCACGTGAGTCCCGTTTGAGCTTTCGACCGGATTTTCTGGGACTAGTTCTGGGAAGCACTCGCTGAACATGGGGCTTCTGGAAGCTTGCGCTGGATTCTCCGCTCAAAATTGCAGCGGGAGCCCTAGGCGTGGCTTGGGGTGTTTAGGGGCTTAGGTTGTTGGAAGCCCCAGGTCCATTGTACTGTCAACATGGCCGCTGGCGACAGGGATCCGGAAAGACCCCCGGCGCGGCAGGCCGCAAACTCGGATTTAGGGCACACCCACAAACCTTAAACCCTTACACCAGCCCTAAACCCTAAACCCCAAACCCCACAGGCACGCCTAAGAGAGGGAGAGAGAAAGAAAAAGACAGAGAGAGAGAGAGAGAGAGAGAGAGAGAGAGAGAGAATGAATGACAGAGAGAGAGAGAGAGAGAGAGAGAGAGAGAGCAAGCAGGAGGCCAAGCGTCGACCTTGGTGCAGTCCTTCTCCTTCGGCTTGGGGCAGCCCTGGCCGCGGGTCCCCTAAAGGTCTCCTTATGCATGTAGGGATTTAGGGTTTAGGGTTGAGGGATTTAGGGGTCTAGAGTTTTAGGGTTTGGGGGATTTAGGGATTGACTAGTCCGACCCGCCCACCCCAACCAAAAGGGCAATCAACGTTCTAGGATTTAAGGGTTGGAGGGTGCTGAAGGGCTTAGGGTTTCGGGGTTCAAGGGTTTAGGATCATGCCCACCCGAGAACGAACCAACGTATGAGATTCTCTGGCGGCCACTCGCCCGGAAGAGGGCTGGAAAGCACAAGTCTACGTAAGTCTATGCATGTGGGCGTCTGTCAAAATTATGCTCCCTTTTGGGGTACCCTAAATATTAGGTGCCGTATTATAATCGGGATCCAAAAAGGGATCCAAAAAGTGACCATCATCTTGACAACCACCCATGTGACGTACAGGTTTAGGTAAGCCCCACGTCGGGTATGTGGATGTTGTGTGCATGGGAGGGCAGATGGTTGAATCAGGCCCGGAGACCTGCCCCCTCAACCCCGAAACTACCCTAAACCCTAAACCCTAAACCCTAAAGCCTAGACCCCAAACCCTAAACCCTAAACCCTAAACCCTAAACCCTAAACCCTAAACCCTATCCCTAAACCCTAAACCGAAACCCCCCCAATTGCCCTCCCACCAGCCTTGAAGGTGCCCGTGGCCGATGGGCAAGTGGAGCCGTCCGGGCAGCAGGCATCGCCAGAGCAGGAGGTATTCGTGCCTGCTATGCAGTTATAGACGAGGATGGCCCTTAAAGGCCCCTGAAACTCCTCTGAAATAATATTCCTGAGTATGATCCTCTTAAACCCGACAAGGGAAAACAGAAAATATCCCAAGGGCCGACCTAGTAGAGGTCCCCTGAAGGGCGCAGTGGATAAGGGGGCTTGGGGCCGAGACCTCGAGGGGTCATCTGTGTGGGAAATTTTGGGTTGGGGGTTCCCCTGCTACTTCTTTTTGACGTTTCTGGGCACCCCGAGCTCCCCATCGCTACTATGGATGGGCCAACTGGAGGGAGCGCTCTACACCCTAAACCCTAAACCCTAAACCCTAAACCCTAAACCCTAAACCCTAAACCCTAAACCCTAAACCCTAAACCCTAAACCCTAAACCCTAAGCCCTACCCATCTCGCCGCTGTCGCCGTGGCCTGGGCACAGCACGCTGGCACCCACCTGCTTCATCGCAGCAGACATGTTCAGGACTTCGTCTAGCCGCGAACCCACAGCCGGTCTTCGCATCCGGCGTGGCCCCGGGTGATGTTTTTTTTTATACATATACATACAGACATCTCTATATATATATATATATATATATACATATCTATCTATATCTATATATATATAATTATATATATATATATAATTATATATATATATATATATATATATGAGTGTGTGTGTATTTATGTGTAACTGCAGATACACCCATAACACTATAACACGACAACACTCCAGTCCATGCTAGAAATCCGGGGGTTTTGGACTCGCTTAGGGTTGAAGTTCGGCGGGCGGAGCTCAGTGTGTCTCAGGCGTGAACAGGGCCATGTGGGGTTGTAGCTCGAGGTGCAGACCTCACTCCTGAGCTACCTTCTTTTGGTACCTCTTGAAACGAGCCTTGCAAGGGCTTTAGGGGGCACCTTGTAAAGGCCGCTAGGAATGCAAGTTGAGTTCAGGGTTGAGCGTTCTTGGTTTGGTGTTCAAGTTCCCCGCTGGAGCACCGTGCATCGGGCCGGCGAAGGCGATGGTGGCGAGGGCGGCGAGGGCGGGGAGGGCGGGGAGGGGGACCTCGGAGTGGAGACAAAAGCGGTGGCCTCGTGCACTGTCGATTCACGGGCCTTGGGGCTTCAGAGGAGTTAAGGGCTTTGGGGCTTTAGGCCCGCAGACTGCTGGTGCGATGACTACGACTACTACGACTGACTACGACGCGACGACTACGACCATTCCTATGACTACTACGATGGGACTACGAGGACTTGGACTGGGACGAGAACTGCATGGAACTGCTACGACACTGAGCGACGACTGACTTCAACCGTCAACTCCTTCAACACCCCCTTCGACTACCGCTTGAACAATGTAGGTTCCTTGCCTAAACCCTAAGCCCTCCGTCCGGGTCCCGGACGGGGGAGCCGGGTACGGGCTTGGGCAGTAAACCGTCATGGTGTAGGTGGCTCCGGCGGTGCAGGTCATCAGGCCCGTGCCATCATCGTAGGCATACCTATCTTCCGGTCGGAGGTTGGTGGTTGAGGGCTTTCGGGCAACGCTTTGGGCTCCAATCCTGGCTAAGCGCCTAACCTTTGGGCCTAAAGACGAGCTGATGCCCAATATGGGTAGGGTTTGGCTGGTGCATCGGGGCTTGGGATGTAAGGTTACGTCTGAAACCCACACCCCAAAAAACCTTTACGAACTGCACGAAGAAGGCGAGCATCCGCCCTTGCAGAACCACCGGAACGCTTGCATCTTCTGGTTCTTAGCCGCCTCTCATCCTTAAACCCTTAAACCAAAAAAAGCCCGTAATTTGTTCACCAGCAAACTCTGCCCAAAATCGCTCCGCCCAAAAAAAACTCCTAGCATCTCTGAAGCTCCAATGAAGCTGTTGTTCCAGGGTGCCCGTAGACACCCGGACACATCTTGTGCACGGCCTGAAAGGCTGCACAGCCGAGGGTTTCGGCGTCGGGGGCTTAGGGGCTTCAAGGTTTAAGGCGGAAGGCCTCGCGCTCTCTGTGAAGCTTGGGGGGATTTGGGAGGTTTAGGGCTGGGGGTTGTTCCAGAGGGTTAGAATCACAAATCCTAAGCAGAAAAGCCCACTCCACCTTTCCAAGCCCAAAGGGCCTCCGAGGCCCCAAACCCTTCACCCAACATGTCACGAAGAAGACTCAGACAGACCCTACATTCCGATGCGCCATGAAGCCCTGACCAACATCCCCCGCAGAAGCAAGCCCAACAGCCATGGAAAAGCCCCGAACCCTAAACCCTAAACCCTAGACCCCAAACCCTGAACCCTAAACCCTAGACCCCCAAACCCTAAACCCCAAAACCTAAACCGTAAACCCTAAACTTGGCCCTAAACCCTAAGCCCAAACCAACAAATAAAGAAAAAGAGAGAGGCGGCGCCTGCACGTACTGGGACTTGCCGACGGGCCCCGTGCGGCAGGCATCCGGCGACTCGGGCGGCGTGGGGCAGCAGAAGGGCGCGGAGGTGGCGTCCTCTGTTCAAGGAGAGGAGGGGGTTTAGGGTTTAGGGTTTAGGGTTTCGGGTTTACGGTTTAGGGTTTAGGGTTTAGGGTTTAGGGTTTGGGGTTTGGGGTTTGGAGTTTAAGGTTTAGGGTTTCGGGTTTCGGGTTTCGGGTTTGCGGGGGGGGGGGGGGCTCTTCTTGAGGGGTGTTGGGGGTATGGGGTTCAGGGCTTCGGGTTTAGCGTTTCGGGGTTTGGGAGGTTTCGGGGCTTCAGGGTTTTGGCTGCAAACGTATCAGGTCTCTGAGGTTCAAGCGTGTGGGATTAGGGAGCCTGCATGCGGAAAGGGGATGCTTGCATGCGGAAAACAGAAGCATGCAACATTCTGGTCGCCACTTGTGCATGCTCGAGTTGGAGATGTCTCTATTTCTTGGCCTTTGACCTCACGAGTCCGGAGTCGCCGGAAACCAACCAGGAAAAGTAGCCACAAAGCACAGCAGACGTTACAATGACAAGGCCAATACCAGAAAAAGTGACAGGGAGAATGCCAGTACAAGAAGAATCGTGCTAGAGGCAACAGCAAGAACAAACACTAGCAGCAATAGGAACACTAACAACGGAAGCTAGAAAAAGCAAAAAGAATCAAATCAAACTAGAAAACATTCGTATCGGCGGCACCTGTCAGCAAGACAAATGCAACCGACCAAGCCAAAAAAAACAAAACGTCGATCCCCAGCTTTTATTGAAAACCCTATCAAGCCGAGAGCCCCCCCCCAAAAAAAAAAAATAATAATAATAAAATAAACTCCTCCCACACACCCAAAGCCCCCCCCCCGCCTGCGGCGTGTGGTGGGCAGCCACGGTGTTGTTCCAGCTCCTCAAGGTCAGCCTCCAAACGGGCTTCGGGGGGCATTTGCGGCTTGGGGGGGACTTGGTGGTTTGAGGCTTTTTGCTTGGGCGGAGCCTTGTGCTCCGGGGACCCTCCAGGGACCCTTCAGGGACCCTTCAGGGCAACGTGATATTGATAGTCCTGGGGACGAAACGGGCCGACTCCCCAATTTCCTCCAAAATTGTTTTTAACGAGGCCGTGTGGCTTGCTGCAGGGGCTGTAGCAGCCCACCAGCTGTCCCGTTTTCGGGTGGTGAAGCCGCAAATCCAGGGTACCCTCACCTCAAAGGGGGGCTTTGGGGGGGGTAGTGGGTTGCAAGCTTTGCCTGAGAGTTTAATATGGGTGAAACTGTAATTTTGAATTAAGTGAACTTGTTGATTTGGCCGTTTTGAAGTACAGGGTTGCTTTAGTTTACGGTCTTTGCGGGAGGGAGTTGGCGCAACTGCTGCGCTCATGCTCGGCAGTCGAGGCTATACGGTTTGGTGCTTGAGGGTGTTTTCAGGGTTTTAAGGGGTTAAGGGCTTACGAATGTTTTTGCGATGCAAAAAGGGGGTTCAAAGTTGGGGTCCCTTTCTTGGTGCTTTGGGGTTGAGGCTTCAAAAAACCTAAAACCTAAACCCTAAACCTTAAACCCTCAACCCGAAACCCTAACCCGAACTGACTCTGTCTTGGCACTTGAGCATGGAGCTTCAAAGCACTGCCGCGGTCCCCCAGAGCAGCACCAAACTTTGCAGAGCCCCGGACCGAAAACCTCATGCTAACTAAGCCCTGCTCTTCCCTTTTTGGGGTTCAGGGGCTGCCGAAGCCCTCCTGAGCCCTAAATCCTTTTGGGGTTTAGGGCTCCGTGTTTAGGGTCGCACGTGCCTGGCACGCTCTCCGTGGTTGGGCACTGGTCCACCTTGGGGGAGGCTGGGGAGGGGGCTTGGGGGCATTATATTGGCGATGGGGGGATGGGCATTGGCAGCAGCGTGGTCCGGTGAGGGCTTGGGATCCGTCAGTAAGATTCAAACCCCTAAACCCCCCTAAACCTCCGTAAACCCCTCCACTCGTGCGCGGCATTGGGGTCTAGGCTCTTAACAGTCCAGGGTGAGCGTGGAAGGTTCACAGGTCTAGGTGCCAAGTTGGGTAGACCTCTGAACCCCGGACCACCCATACCACCCCCCACCCCCTAAACCCCAAGCCCTAAACCCTGAAAACATGCGGCTGGAGTGGCCGAGACTTTTGAGCAGTCGATAATCTTCCCGCTCTCCACCTCATGGCTGGCTTCCGACCAGGCGAGGGAGAAGGGACCCCGGAGATGCTAAGCCACCCCCCCCGCAAAAAATGGCTTACAGGGCACCTAGGCTTCGGGAACCGACAAAAACCTGACTTTAAAACGACCGCTGAGGTCTTTCGCCTTGGATCGAAATCAGGGTTGGGCTGCCGACTTCGGGCTGCCAAGGGGTCAAGCGCAGAAGCTTACAGTTTGAGCCTGGAGTGAGTCCTCAAGCCTTCCCCATCAAGCTGCCAAGGCACCACTGCTTTGCCAGTGGAAGTGCTGACGCAGGAGCCGGTCACCTGAACTTAGGCGACAAGATCGGCCACCAGAAACCCCAAACCCGAACCCTAAAGCCTGCACGGCCAACCAACGAATGGTCGAGGCTGAGAGGGGCCTACATCTCTACCACATCCCAAGCCTGCATTTAACAATTCCCGGGCCTTCCTAACCAACTCCTACACCCCTGACGTCCTAGGATGGCTCGGGGTGCTCTAAGTACCCCCAAACCCTGCGCACCTGAGCCTTCAGCCTACGCGCCGAACCCTGGACCCTGAGTCTGAAATCCCCAGCCCTGAGCCCGAAACTTCAAATGGTCCCCAGGCTCTTCCCCCGAAGCAATGAGCCCCCAGATCCGCCTGGAACTTAAAGGGCAGGGTCCAGCCTCAGGCTCTTCCCGCTTATCTGAAAAAATGTGTAGGATAATCAGCATGTGCAGCATGTTTCTCAGGTACATGCTATGTATGTATATGTGCACATATGTATGAATATGCAGCACGCCGATATACCCAGCAATGAAGCCCTAGACACCTCAAACTTGCTGGTCCAAGATCTGAACCTGAAGGCCCCATGAAGATCTAAATATCTATGTATGTATGTATGTATGTATGTATGTATGTATGTATGTATGTGTGTATGTAAGTATAAGTATAAGTATAAGTATAAGTATAAGTATAAGTATAAGTATAAGTATAAGTATAAGTATAAGTATAAGTATAAAAGTATAAGTATATAAGTATATAAGTATATAAGTATATAAGTATATAAGTATATAAGTATATAAGTATATAAGTATATAAGTATATAAGTATATAAGTATATAAGTATATAAGTATATAAGTATATAAGTATAAGTATAAGTACAAGTACAAGTACAAGTACAAGTACAAGTATAAGTATAAGTATAAGTATAAGTATAAGTATAAGTGTATGTATATATATATAGAGAGAGAGAGAGAGTATACACATACATATATATATATATATATGCTACCCCCCCCCCCCCAGCGACCTACCCTTTTTAGGCCTTTTTAGGCCTTTTTAACAAAAAATAACAAAGAAGGCCCCAAAAGTCGCGTAGTTAATCACGCATTGGAAGAATCTACATTTTGAATCTGAAGCGGACAATGCTGTTTTTAGATGTTTAGATCAGTGTTTTTCTATGCAAATTGTGCGTTTCAAGGGCAATTAATGTTTTGTTGAGCAACTAATCTATTTATACAGTTGTGTTTGTACGAGGCAAAGTACTAATCAAATAGTGAAACATTTTTCTTGGTTTTATGCGAATTTAGCTACTAGAGCAATTATTAAGCCAAGAGCCCAATTTGACTCAAGTGAATACTATTTAAAGGAGCATACTCAACCAAGATACGAAATAAACACCATTCTCAACCAAAAAATTGGCAAAGTGTGCGTTTAAAGTGCAAATACTGTATTTATACAGTTGTGTTTGTACTAGGCAAAGTATGCTCTCTGAAAAGTCCACTGAAATACCTTATGTTTACATATTCATGAATCGTTTTAATTTTTGAAATAATCATTTTATGCGAATTTAGCTACTAGAGTAATTATTAAGCAAATAGCCCAATTTGACTCAAGTGAATACCATTTAAAGGACCATACTCAACCAAAATACGAAAGAAGCACCATATTCAACCAACATATGGCAAAGTGTGGTTTAAAGGGCAAATAGTGCTTTGTTGAGCAACTAATGCATTGAAACAGTTGTGTTTATACCAGGCAAAGTATTATTGAAGTACTATCTGCAAAGTCAAATGAAACACCTTATGTTTACATATTCATGAAACAATTTTTTTGAAGTATTCATTCTATGCGAATTAAACTACTAGAGGAAAGTTTTAAGCAAATAGCCCAATTTGACTCAAGTGAATACTATTTAAAGGACCATACTTAACCAAATACGAAATAAACATTTGCGGAAATGGAAACGGTTCTACCTACATAACAATGAGACAAAGATTGCTGAAGTATTCACTAAAGACCACTTATATACGATGTCTGAAAAGCACAATTTGCATGAGCAAGCTTAAAAATGCACAATAATGGAATAGAAGCGGTTCTACTTACATAACGATGAAACAAAGATGTCTGAAGTATTCAATAAAGACCACATATATACTATGCCTGAAAAACGCAACTTGCACAATCAGGCTTAAAAAATGCACAAGAATCCTCGAAAAGTACTTAGTGAAGGCCATACACAAGCAAATTCACAAATACATAAAAACATCCAAAAGCGCAAGCTTTTCAGGAGAATCTCTGGTAAAGTTTGGATTATAGGGTTTTGGGGTATTCCTGGACGAGTAGGAGTCACTTTTTAAGCAAACAATTCTAAGCAATAAATGCTTTTTCTCAAGACAAGTATTGCAAATGCTGCTTCTAGATAATTAATCGCATTTACCAGGCAAATATTATCCATGCGAATTGAGCTACCAGAGCACCAAGTAATGGCTGAATAAGGTCTACTACACTTGAGTACAACCAAAAGATGCACTAAACACTAGCGGCTCTACTTACATAATAACGAAACAAATAGTTCTGAAGCACTAGAAAGACCACTTGTATACTATTTCTGAAAAGCACAATTAGCATAAGCACACTTAAAAATGCGTAGTTGTTGCCTCGTGACCGTGAAGGCGAACCAAAAAGCCAAAATACCAAAACCAAAAAACCAAAAATACCAAAACCAAAAAAAACAAAAAAACCAAAACCAAAAAAACCAAAAATACCAAAAAAACCAATTTTCCGGGACTCTTGGAGAAGCCTCATAGGGATTTCCTGAGAGTCCCGGAAAATTGGTTTTTTTGGTATTTTTGGTTTTTTTGGTTTTGGTTTTTTTGGTTTTTTTGGTTTTGGTTTTTTTGGTTTTTTTGGTTTTGGTTTTTTGGTTTTTTTGGTTTTGGTGTTTTTGGTTTTTTCTACTGTCCCGTGTATGCGATTTTAATTGTATTTTAGTCTACGCCCTAGGAAATACGCTATATTGCACACCGAGTTTGCTTGCAGTGCAGCTGGGTGACTTGAGACAAGGCGAAAAAGGGTAGGTCACTGGGGGGGGGGGTACCATATATATATATATGTATATATATAATATGTTTAGTGTGTATATAGAGGGAGAGTATATCTAGTAAGTATAGTAAAGGGAGTCGGGCTCATGCAAGGGCGGCTCAGGGTTCATGGGATATAGGGTTCGGCGCCCAGGGACTCAGGAATCCCAAGCCCTAAATCCCAGTCGCAGAAGGTTGAGGGTTAGGGTTTAGGGTTTAGGGTTTAGGGTTTAGGGTTTAGGGTTTAGGGTTTAGGGTTTAGGGCTTCGGGCTCAGGGCTTAGGGCTTAGGGTTTAGGATGCCCGAGGGCAGCGCCATCGACCATGCTCACGTCAATCCAGTCGCAGCCGTCGTACTCCTCCACGGAAGAAACCCTCGACCCTCCATCCTGAGCTCACTGAAGCCTCGACCCTACAACCCTCTGCAGTTCCGGGACCCTGAACCCAAAAGGCGTTCGGGGTGTTAGGGTTAGCGGGCCCGAACCCACAAAACCCTTACGCAAAACATTCCGCGAAAGAACGCAATCCGGGGCAGCCTGCTTCGCCGGATTGCAGGGCAGCCCTTGTTGCCCGAAGGTGGCCTCCAACAGTCGCAACAACACCGTTTTGGATCGGGTGTGGGTTTGGGGTTTAGGGTTTAGGGTTTGGGGTTTAGGGTTTAGGGTTCAGGGTTCAGGGTTCAGGGTTCAGGGTTTAGGGTTCAGGGTTCAGGGTTCATTCAGGGTTCAGGGTTTAGGGTTTAGGGTTTAGGGTTTAGGGTTTAGGGTTTAGGGTTTAGGGTTTAGGGTTTTGGGGCTCCCAGGGTTTTCTGGTCTTTGGCTTCGTTGGGCCTTCATGAATTGAGGGTTGCGGGGGCCTTGATGGGCTTAGAGGGCCTTGAGGGCCTTTGTGGCCTTAGAGGCTCTAAGGGCTGGTATGGTCTGATGCTTAGGATGAACGAAGCAGTCATCGTCTGACGGGTTCAGGGTTAGGGTTAGGAGCCATTATGAGTGCGACTGCGTGACGACTGCGGGGCTCTATAGGGCCCTCTACCTACCGTGCTTGCCGTGAGTTGCGGTGGGTTTGCATCCGGACTACCACGGCTCCCGGTAAGCAGCGCGCTCAAAGCAACGCCTGCAAAACGAACGAAACCTGCCATGAGGATCAGCCAGTGCATGGACAGCCTCGAACTTCGTGTCCACAGGTGGAGCACAGCCTCGGATGCCAGAGAGCATGGAGGCATCTTTCTGTAGGGTTTAGGGTTTAGGGTTTAGGGTTTAGGGTTTAGGGTTTAGGGTTACAGGTGTCATAGAGTACACTTTTTGGATTCAAGCAGCCATTGATTTGGCAGGGCTGGTGCTACATGCTCCGCTTGCAGATTGGGGTCTCTCAGTGCAAAATCAGCTTCAATGGTCTGCAGAATATGGCAGCGTATGCCGCTGAGAGATAAACGGTTAGGGCAACCCTGAAACCTCTAACCCCTAAACCCTTGAACCCCTAAAACCCTAAAACCCTACAGCCCGAAAACCCTAAACCCTTAAACCCTTAAACCCTTGAACCCCTAAACCCTAAAACCCTAAAAACCCCCTAAGACCCCTAAAGCCGCCCCAAACAGAGTGAGCTGTCAGAACCTCCGACTTGCAGCCGCGCCACCAAGGGTCTCATCGCAAACCTCGCCTGGCCCTGGCGTAAGCAGGGTCTTCAGCTTAGGGTTTAGGGCTCAGGGTTTAGGGTTTAGGGTTTCGGGTTTAGGGTTTAGGGTTTAGGGTTTCGGGTTTAGGGTTCAGGGCTTAGGGTTTCTCAATCCCAAACCCCAAAATTCTAGTGAGCCTCAACCCTCAACCCTGAACCCTAAAACTTGGAGACTGCCCCCCCCAACCGCTAAATGTCAGGGCGTAGGGCGTAAGGACTCGGGCTCGTCATCTGCTAAGTAGCAAAAGGGGTCCATGACGAAGGGTCCCTCCTTTAAACCCCGCAGAGTTCTGGAACTCCTGGGGCAAGGGTTAGGGTTTAGGGTTTAGGTTTTAGGGTTTGGGTTTTAGGGTTTAGGGTTTAGGGTTTAGGGTTTAGGGTTTAGGGTTTAGGGTTTAGGGCTTAGGGCTTAGGGCTTAGGGTTTAGGGAGTTGGCGCTTGGGGTTTGGGGTTGAGGTCAGCGCGGGGGTTGAAAGGCTTAAAGTCAACATTTTAAGGTTTTACGGGTTCAGGACTTGGGGCCCCCAATAGCCGGAGACAACGTAAACCCCAAACAGCTTAAAATGGCCTCAAGCCCACAGCCACCCCACACCGGAACACCCTCTCCGTAAACCCTAAACCCTAAACCCTCCGCAACCTAACCTCCGCTGCCGCCGATCTGGCACTTGTTGCCGGTGCTGTCGCAGCGCATCTTGGGCCAGTAACGAGTTGCCTGGAACAGCTTGGGTTTCGGGTTTAAGGGTTTAGGGTTTTGGGTTTTGGGGTTTAGGGTTCAGGGTTCAGGGTTTAGGGTTTAGGGTTTGGGGTTTAGGGTCTAGGGTTTTAGATTTATTCCTGGTTCGGACTGGACCTGTTGTCTCACAGACTGACGGCAGCAAACCCCCTCGTCCCCGGAACCGCCGATAAGCCCCTAATACACCTAGACTCCCCTTAGAACCTTAATACGAATAATAAGTTTAATATCCGCTTGGCTATGATAACAACAAAAACAACTCATCATTCCCAAGGGGCAATAGACACCCTGATAGCCCAGACAATCCCCTACCCTTTTGGGGCTTCGGGCTGAGAGCCTTCAGGTTGTCCGGCGTGGTGAAGGCGTGGGACGCCCCGGCCGCGATCATGAGGTTTTGCGCCTATGCGAGGGAGACTTCATCGGGCCCAGCGTGGGGATTGAGGTGTTTCAGGGTAACCCTAAACCCTAAACCCTAAACCCTAAACCCAGGGTCTCGCCTCAGTCAGGGTGTGCTAGGGCTTAGGGCGTGCCCCCATGGCCCATCCGGGTGGCATGTGTGGCTCTGCTGGCAGGGACTTGCAGGGGTTGGGATGACTTCGCAATTTTCTCCTCGGGCCAGCGGGTCAGCACCCCGGTGTCAGGCTGCAGCGCTTCGGTCAGGGTTGAGCTTAATTCTAGGCCGGCTTGGGGCGCTGGATTTGGGCCGACTTAGGGTTTGGGGTTTGGGGGTTGGCAATATGGAGTTGTTGGTAGTTGCACGAGGAGGTTCGATCCGCAACTCAGTAGATATGGCTTGTTGCCCTGCCCATGAACCATCACCCTGAAACTTGCAGGCCATCTGTGCATGAACTAACTACAACCCCAACCCTGAACCCTAAACCCTGAATCCTAAACTCTAAACCCTGAAACCCCAAACCCGGAAAATCCCGAAAACCCTAGAACCCTAGAACCCCCAAACCCTAAAACCCTAACACCCTGAAACCCTACAACCCTATAACCCTAAAACCCTAAAACCCTAAAACTACCCTAGAACTTCCCTAAAACTACCCTAAAACTACCCTTGCCTCTGGGCCAGTGCTGGCACCAGCCATGTGAGCAATCCAAATGGGCCTTGGCCACGTCGAGGGATTCAGGCGTTTCTTTTCGGGTGCTGTAGGGTTTACTACAGGACACAGATGGGGCAGCATCCAAGGCTCAACTTTCAACAGCCAATCTCCAAGGACACACGCTCCCACACGAGTATCGCAGCTGATTGCAAAGATGAAGAAACAGAACGCACCAGGCCTCCAAACAGAGGCGGGCGCACCGGATTCAAGATTCGGCAAGCTTTGACATGCAGGTCCCTTGATGTGAGTTCACAACAGACCGCCAGCAGCTAGAAGCTAGATGCTGTCCATCGAGTGCTTGGGGCACTTGGGTCAGCCCAAAGATTCGCCCATGAGCTTTTCGTGAAGGGGGAACTTCCTTGTTTCTTTCTCCGGTCTACGGATATCAGCCAGCGGGCTCTTTGTCGCAGGCATTCTGGATGACCAAGCGGGTCGAGGCATTCGCGGCCGCCGCTGCAGCCTTGCAAAGTCCCCACGGTCTTCAGGGGGTCCGAAGAACATGGAAGCCAAAAACTTGGCCTTCGGGCCATTGGGGATTTAGGGCTTAGGGTATTTTGTTTTGGGCTTTGGGCGGAGCCTTCCCCTTTGTCAGTTACACATCACAGCACATCACAGCAAGCGGGAGGGAGAGGGATGGAGAGGACCGCAAGAGCTTGTAAGGCCCAGCAAGAAGGCGAAAGAGAAGAACCGGCATGGAACCTCGATCCCCCAGGAAGCCCAGCCCCCAACCTTTGAAACCCAACTCGTGAAGCCCGAAGGTCCCGCAAGAGCACCCCCAAAAAAAATCCCAAAAACACCCCGGGTGGCCGGAGCAAGGAGCAGCGCTTTCAGAAGCTTCGCCATGGCAGAAGTGCTCTTCAAGGGGTCACCAGGAAGGTCGGGAGCTCGGAGGTCTTCCTTTTGGGGGGTTCTGAAACGCGTGCCCTCGCCCAGAAGCCGGTCTGGGGCTTAAGCCTCAAAATGCACCGCGGCAGCTAACTGCTTTTCGAGGGCAGGCCGGGGAATCCCAAGAGTCCAAAGATGATTTTATGATGGAGTTGCTCCCATGGTTTCCATTTGCTCGGGGGCGCATGTGGGTCGGAAGCAGCGTGGCATTCGTGCTTGAAGACCCCAAAAACCCAAAACCCTGGACCCTTTTGAGGCTCGGCACAGCTTTGAACTGAAGGTTCATGGTGCCTAGTGATCCCTTCCTCTTATTTCTAGACTCCCGTGACTATGAAACAGCTTCTGCACCCGACCCAACACATCGCACCAGGCTTGTTTTTTCCTTAACATGGGCCTTGGCGCAGCCATGGCAGCAGAAGCCCCTACACCCGACACCCTTAAACCCCCAAGAAACACCACGAATCGAGCTCCAGTACCTGAACTTCTAGCCCGCTTTGTCCAACTTAAGAGGTGAGGAGACGGCGCAGAAGGGTTTAGGGCATCGAGGTTTCTGGCTTCGGGGGTTCGTGCGATTCGTCGGGTTAGGGGTTTTGGGGTTAGGGTCTAGGGTTCAGAGAAGTGATCCGAAAGTATGCATAGGAGAGCGTTTGAATTGCTGGGCCGGCCTCGCAATAACACTCAGTAGCCCCAATGAATATGAAAGCCTAAAACCACTCCCATTCGCCTCGTAAGCCCGATACAATGAGCTCCGATGCTCTGGTCTGCGCGGCAGCTGTGAAACGCATGCGCGTGAAGGCTCACCTGCAGCACTTGTGGGGGGGGGGGAACTTAGGGTTTTGGGTCTAGGGGCCTGAAACCCTTAAACCCATAAAGCCTCGAACCATCCTTCAACCCTGACCCTATCATCATCCCTGAGACCTGTTAGGTTTAAGGGGGAAGATCCCAACTTAAACCCTAAACCCTAAACCCTAAACCCTGAACCCTAAACCCCTAAAGCCTAAACCCGAAACCCTAAACCCTAAACCCTAAACCATAAACCCTAAACCCTAAACCAAAACCCTTTAAGCCAAGCCAACAAAACACGGCCGCAGGCGCCTCCGTGGCGGCCAGCCCCAGGGAGCCGGCGCGCCCCAGGGATCCTTGAAAATCCATATTGGGGCTTTAGGGTTTGGGGTTTAGGGTTTAGAGTTTAGGGTTTAGGGTTTAGGGTTTAGGGGCGTGGGGCTTTGGGCTTTGGGGTTTAGGGTATAGGGTTTAGGGGCGTGGGGTTCAGGGTTTAGGGGTTGGGATTTGGGGTTTAGGGTTTAGGGTTTAGGTAGTAGGGTTTGGGCGAAATGGGTCCTGGGCTAGAGGGAACCTGGAAACCCAAACCCTAAACCCGAAACCTGACGTCCGGCGCGCCTGCGGCGCGCTCGCTGCCGGAGGAACCCAAGCCTCCGCAGAAGGCTTGGGGGCTTGTGAGGTTTAGGGTTTAGGGTTTAGGGTTTAAGGTTTAGGGTTTAGGGTTTAGGGTTAAGGGTTTAGGGTTAAGAGCTGAGGGTTTTGAAGTTCGATCTTCAGCTGTCAATAAACCTGACAAGAGCGACTGCGAGGTTGGAGTTTGGGGCTTCGGGGGGTGCTTCTGCCCTGAACCTCCCCCAAACTGGAAGGACATCCTAAATCCTGAACCCCTCACAAACCCCTCCACCCTAAACCCTCAACCCTATAAACCCTCAACCCTACAAACCCTCAACCCTCAACCCTAGACCCTCACTTAAGAACCCCCCCCCACTGAAAGAACAACATCCTAAATCCTAAACCCCTCCCAAAGCCCTCCACCCTAAACCCTCAACCCTTAACCCTCAACCCGATAAACCCTCAACCCTCAACCCTAAACCCCAGCGTCGAGCTCCCCGCATCACTGGAGGAAGGCTGGGGCGCGGCGGGCGCCTGAGCGGGTAGGGTTTAGGGCTTGGTGTCTGCAGAGCCCAAAACTTCCCATGATTCCGGGATTTGGGGGTTCTTCGGGTCTCGGATTTGGGGACTGGGGATTTTGGGGCTTCGGGAGTTGGGGATGGGGGCTTGAGGTAGGGTTCAGGGTATGGCCAGCGTAGGGTTTTTTGGAGCTTCAGGATCCTTAGCTTCAGGATGTTGACCTTCACGAGGGATGAAGGGCCTCCCCCAAAACCCCCCAAGAACATCCAGAAAACCCAAAACCCGAAACCCTGAGCCCTAAACCCGAAACCCTAAACCCGAAACCCTAAACCCTAAACCGTCAAGAAAAGGCTCCACCCCCCTCTTCTCCCAAGCCTCGGAGGGGGGCACCCATGGAGCATCCTCGCCCCGTGCGCCGCCCGAACCTCCGTGTTCAGGGTCAGGGTGCACCCCAGAAAAGATCCTTCTTCTTCCCCTTTTTGGGGTTTAGGGTTTAGGGTTTAGGGTTTAGGGTTTAGGGTTTAGGGTTTAGGGTTTAGGGTTTAGGGTTTAGGGTTTAGGGTTTAGGGTGGGTTTAAGGTTTAGGGCGCAGGGCTTGGGGCTCGGGGCTGAGCGGTTAGGGGTTCCGCAAGTCAGGGCACCCCTTTTGGGCGCCACGTAGCGTCCGAAGTTCAAGGCCTCTTGGGCTTGTCATTGAGGAAACCGCAACCCTGAACCTTCACCCCGAAGCAAACAGGCCCAAACCCTCAGAGCGGAGAATCCTAAGGTCCTAAAGCACTGAACTCCAGATGGCTGTCAGCCCCCGTCCCCTGTTCAACACGAGATAGCCATCAACTCGACACGTCCGGATCGCTACCCAGAAAACCCTAGCGGGGGCCTCCGCCCTGGTAGGCCACCAACTCATCCTTGGCCCGGCCTAGAGGACAAGGGAGGCGTCAAGGATGGTGTCTTGAAAGGGTTCTGGGGCTTAGGCTTAGGCTTCGGCTTAGGCTTAGGCTGAGGCTTGAGGCTTCGGCTTAGGCTTATAGCTTAGGCTTAGGCCAAGTTCCCGAACACCACCTCAACAAGGTCTTGCGGCCGGTCTTGGTTAGCGGGCTTTCTATTCAGAACCAAACGTTGAAGCCTCAAACCGGAGACCGTGTGCTTCTGGAAGCGTGCTGAAGTCCAGTGACACAGCAGCTGGACACCCTCTGCTGAAGGTGTGAAAATCCCGAACGCGCCCCCAAAGCTACAAACCCCGAACCCGAGCGTAAAAAGGCTTGCTTCGTCTAGGGTTTAGGGTTTAGCGCCGAGGGTTTTTGGTAAGGTTCGGGATAGAGAGGGGTTTAGGATTCAGAAAGCTCGGGGTTTAGGGCAGCGAGACACAACTGAGCCAAGTGCGCCAGGCCGTGGTGGGGTTGTTGGGAAACTCGTGGTTGTATCTGCAGCGGTTGAGGGTTTAGGGTTGAGGGTTTAGGGTTTAGGTTTTGGGTTTAGGGTCTAGGGTGTAGGGTTTAGTGTTTCTGCCGTCGAAAATTTCACATACGAGCTTCGGGGGGCGGTGCCAGGACGCTTCTTCTGAACCCGAAGCCCTGGACTACCAGCCTTTTGAAGTGGGTTAGGGTTTAGGGTTTAGGGGTTTGGGGTTTGGGGGTTTCGGGTTTAGGGTTTAGGGTTTCGGGTTTAGGGTGAGGGGTTTAGGGTTTAGGGATGTTTAGGGTTTAGGGTCTAGGGCTTAGGGAGTTCCTTGGGCCTTGGGTTTGCTGGCCTATGGCACTGCCATAGCCCTCAAGCCGAAGATGAAGACTTGAAACCCGAGGCAGAGACCTTGAAACCCCCAAACCGCTCTAAGGCTCGAGAGGGCTGCCGAAACCCTAAACTCCTTGCCGCCAGAAAGGGAGGGGGCCAAACTGGAAGCTTGCAAAAAGCAACTCCTTGAAGGGAACGCGGGGCGCAAACCGACGAGCAGACACTCAGGCCCTCGACCCTTAGACCCCAAAACCCTAAATCCTAAACCCCGAGACCCAAAATCCGAAACCCAGAGTGCCTGAGTGCTTGCGCAGCTACAGACCCCGACCCGCATTCTCAGAGCCCTTCGTAGACTGTGGCCGGCTTCCCCCAACAGCCAATTTCTGGACTTCGAACCCTAGAAGCCCCCCCCCCAAATGTTGTTGATGAAGGGTTACATCAAATTTATGAGAACCTCTTTCTGGATGGTGTTTCTATTTAGAAAAGCAAAGAGAACTCAAAAAACTCAACTCCAAATGTCTTGAGGTCTCGGAGCACGCCTGGGCTTGGAGGGCTTCATCTGGCTTAGAGGCATTGTGGAGGGCTTGCAAAGTTCAAAGGGGGTGGCCTTGCTTCTAGGATATAGGGTTCACGCGGCGTAATTTCAAGGCTTTAGATCTCAGGCTTGCCTTGCTCTCTCTCTCTCTCTCTCTCTCTCTATCTCTCTATCTCTCTATCTCTCTCTCTCTCTCTCTCTCTCTCTCTCTCTCTCTGTCTCATATATATATATATATGTATATGTGTATACATATATACATATACACACACCTATATATGTATATGGATATGCTAACATAGAACTTGATGGCCTCTTCACGATCTCCTCGTCGACCAGGCGCACCCCGTCGAGCTGATTCCTTGGGTGGGGGGGGGGGGGGGGCTCTCCAACTTGGCGGTACCTCCAACGCCTGAGTTCCCCAAACTCCCCGACAGAAGCCCACACCAACAGCGAGGCGGGGCTTGGTTCAGGGTTTAGGGTTGGGGTTTAGGCGTAGAGTTTGCTGAGGAGGGTCTGGGGTTGTGGGTGAACCCTCGCCCTCGGCATTTAACAAGTGTACTTTGATGGTATTAGTCACGTGGATGCACAATGCTTTTGACAGTACTTGCATATGTTTCAGAAAATGTTGGCAAATCATGTCAGACAGCTTTGAATACCATTTGTTAAAAAAAGAGAGAGAACGAACGCGATAGACGTTGATGATGTGTTCTTGAAACTCTGTGTAAGCTAGTGCTAAATCAACACGGACTTATCGGATGCCCAGCTTCCCACAGATGATCCAGTTGTCGTGGACGTTGTGGGGCCGGCCTGCGCGACCATCGGAGTGAGGTGGAGATTTGGGGCCCGAGCCCGAAATCCAATCCGAAAGCCCAACCCTGGAATCACAAAGGCAGCATACGGTTTGGGGCGTAGGGCTGAGGGATTTAAACCTTTCCGAAGTCCCAGATCTGAAGCTGTCAGAACTCACCCTGCAACACAACCTCCCCCGTTGCCACTGCCAGCATCATTCCAAAGCCCCCAAGGCCCAAAAGGGGTCGAGCCCCCTAAACCCAAAACCCCTATAGGGCAAGCCCAAGAGTCTGAGGGGCTCAAGAGCCCAAAGCCCAACACAGTCCGATCTTCACGAGCTGATGCCGCCGGACTTTGCCCAGTCTTCCACATGATCGCAGGTGCCAACGCAGTGTGATCTCTCGGCGACCCAGGCTTTCAGTTGGCCAGGCCTTCCACCCCCTCCCCCTGGAACCGTGAATCGAGATTCCCTAAACCCTAAACCCTCAACCCCCTCTTGGGGTGAACTAGGCTTGTGGGAGGTCCGATCCCTAAGAAAGGGGAATACGCATGATTCAGGGCACTACTGGGCATCCTAGAAACACCCCGAATTCCATGCCAGGCAAGATTGGGCCCCCCGCCGAAGAGTTCCAGCTTCTGGCAGTTCGGAAACATCCGCTCCTCCAAAGTCTTGGGTTTAGGGTTTGGGGGTTCAGGGAGGAGGGGTTTGCAGTCTTGGTTGTAAGGCCTGGGCATTAAAGCAAAGGTGTTGCATGATGTTGCAGGATCCGTATCTGTCCCTGCACCCCCAAACTGCCCACCCCTGAGACACAACCTCACGAGTCTCGATACGAACTTTTCCAGGGCGCAGGCGATGAGATTGTAGATCTCATCCGGCTTGCGCGAGGTCTCGCGCACTTCGCTAACCTGGGTATCTGCAGCACCCTGGAAGGGTGCAGCGCTTCGCTGCATTGGGGGAAGGCTTCGGTTTGAGGGGCACTCTTCAAGATAGGTGGGTATCCTCACTCCAAACTCTTCTGAGCTTGTGGGCCGGAAAATTGTGGCATGGCTACTTGGGCAGTCGCTACTTTCAATCTTATACATAAATATGTGTATGTGTGTCGGGATTGCAATGGAAGGAGAAAAAAAGGGGGGTAACTTAGGTGTCGCATAAACAGCTCCTGAGGGCCACACGATGACATCGCAATCCAAGTTCCTGTGGACGATTTGGCCACTGGTGTCCGAAACCATTAAGGCATTGGCGTTCAGGGAGTTTAGGGTTGAGGGTTGTGGCCTTTATGGTTCAGGGGTTTTGGGACGGCTGGAAGTCCAAACTCCTAAATGGGACGGTGACAACAAGGGTTTGGTGATGCCAAGGTAATACCCAACACGGCGCTGCCCCTTTAGAGTTTTCGGTTTAGAGTTTAGAGTTTCGGAACCCGCAACTTAGTCCCTGACATTCCCTGACCGCTAGGTTCTTGTCCCAGTCTCGCCGAAGGATTCGGTCGACTGCAAGAATTTGGTGCCGCCCACGTGCCACAAACCCTCAAGCCATACCAAACCCCCGTGAGCTTCGAAAACACGTACACCACACTAAACCCTACCTCCCCCGACCCAAACCCTCCTGAAACCCCATGGATAATCCCCTCCCCCTAAGATGAAACCCCCCCTACCCCCTAACATTAAATACCCTCCATTATAGCTATATTATACGATCTTGAGGGTTTTTACCCTAACCCTAAACCCTAAACCCTAAACCAGAAACCCTAAACCCTAAACCCTAAACCCTAAACCCTAAACCCTAACCCTAATATTAGGGGGTAGGGGGGGGGGGGTGTTTAATATTGGGGGGAGGGGATTACACCGTAGCACTGAATCATAGGAGGCCTGTTGAGCTTCGGGTTGCCCTTGATGCCGACCAAGCCTCCAGCTTGAGGTGGGCTTAGGGTTTAAGGTTTAGGGTTTAGGGTTTAGGGTTTAGGGTTTAGGGTTTAGGGTTTAGGGTTTGGGGTTTAGGGTTTAGGGTTTAGAGCATGCCGACCGAAATACTGCACCTCGGTAGGCCCTCTGCTTGGCAGAATGTTCGGAGGACATTGCCCGTAGCCTAGATGACTGCTTCGGGCGCCTTGGTTATTTGGGATGTACGAAAACTAGGGGACCCCCAAAATAGACCCCCATGTAGTAGGATCCCCTTGAAACAAGGACCCCAATAGGGTGCCCTAATTGCGGAATCGGCTTCAGTTTGGGTATACGAATGCACCGTGCGACATGGAGCCACATCAGGGAAACATGAAGGAGAGTTTTACTCTACTTCTGCTTGCTCTCCGAAACTGGGCCGGGGTCTAAACCCTCAACCCTAAACCCTACAAGAGCTTTTCAGCTTGCGAAACTCCGGGGTCCGAGCAGTGCTCCTTGGAGTGGTTTATCCTTAGGGGCACATGCAGAGCTGCGACGGGCTTGTGTATGGCATCGAGTTCAAGGGGACAGTTCTTGACACCTCACTGTTGAAGTCGGAACACCCAAACCAGCCCAGATCCGGCTCTCAAACACACAGGCAACAGGCACTGAAACTCAAAATCCAACCAACACTAAGCTTTCCAGTTAAACCATGCATTCTACGCAGCGGGCTCGTCACAGGCTTGGGGCAATCCACCGATTTTAAGTGGTGACGACTTATATCGGTGCAGGGTTCCGGTGGCAATCCGAGGGCTTAGGCTAAGGCTCAATGATTCCAGGCTTTAAGCACGTGGGGCTCAATTCAGAATTCAAGGGCTTGGCTGCGTTTAAGGGCTTGAGGGCTAAAGGGCTTCAGGTGTTCTGGGTTTCAAGTTTAAGGTGTTTTGGCCTTGGCGTGGGAGTGTCATCATAGAAACCGTCATCATGGGCATACCTCGAACGTTGTTGTTGGCGGGTTCTGGGGCATGGTCCTTGCAGCAAACAGAGCAGGCTCCTGTGGCTCGGCCTCTGCAGACGAATTCTCTAGTCTCCCTCAACAACTTCTGAACAGAAAAGCCCCAGCAGAGACATGGCGGATCCAAAAAAGAAATTGGGTCAAGCGGCCAGTGCCCCGTGCGGCCCGTCCGGATGATCCTCTGCAGCTGGTTGGTCTTGACCCACACGATCTCCTCGATCCTGCGAAGATTGCAGACACCAACAGCTGGAGGATAGGGTTTACGGTTTAGGGTTTAGGGTTGAGGGTTGAGGGTTGAGGGTTTAGGGTTTAGCGTTTAGGGTTTACAGTAGGGTTTAGGGTTTAGGGTTTGGGTTTAGCGTTTAGGGTTTAGGGTTTAGGGTTTAGGGTTTAGGGCTTAGGGTTTAGGGTTTAGGGTTTAGGGTTTAGGGATGCCTTTTCGAAGACTGTTAGTCAGAATGCTGGGATAAACTCCTGCAGCCTTAAACCCTACGCAACTTGGAGCCGCAGGGCCCCAAACACCCAAGCCAACCCTGAGATCCTAAGCCCCTTCTTATACAACCCTAAACTCATTATTATGTAACTGAGATCCTAAACCCCTTATTTTATAACTGAGATCCTAAAGCACTTATTACATAACCCGAAGCCGCAAACATTCTCCGCCCCGGCCTCTTGTAGCCCCAGAGGCGAAAACACTCCCGGGCCAGCTCCATGGCCTTCCGGAGACGTTGGGCTTTTCCGAGAGCACCCCATACCCTTGAAAACAAACAAGGGGTTCAGGGTCTAGGGTTTAGGGTTACTTGAAGTATGGGGTACTGTCGATTTTAGCCCTTTTTGCAGACAGGGTTGCTCTAGGTTGGGCCCCAGGGTGTCTTTCGCCGAGGGTCTGGGGTCTAGACGGGCTGAGGGTTGCAGCTCAGGGCGGTGGAGCTTCAGCCGCCTTTGACCTACCAGATTCAGGGCTTAGGGTAGTGGAGCTTGGCAGATGTTCTTGTACCATTCCTGCAACTCACCGCCCTTGGCCATCACAGGCACAGGAACTGTACTTGTACTTCTTCTCCACGGCTTTGGCTATAAGATTGGGTTTAGGAGGCTGCGCGGTCTGGGCATCATCGATTGCCCGGCTGGTCTTCGGAGACGCAGGCGCCGGCTACGGTCAGAACTTTCTACCCTTGACCCCTAAACCCTAAACCCTAAACCCTAACATCCCTAAACCCCGCACCCCCTCAGTCAGCCGAGGGCTGCACTCGGCCAGTGACCCACAGGAAGATCATCCTTGGTTTAGGCTCTGGGGTTTCAAGGGGATCTCAGAAGCACAGTCCTTCACAGAGTCTGGGACTTCATGCCTCCCGAGATTCCCAAACTTGCGCTTGCAGAAGCTCAGGAGCCACCGAAAACCTCGAAGAAAACGAGGTCGCGGCCCATCCTCGTGGATGTCGCCGATGTTGAGATTCTTCACCTCTTCGTCGGTCAACGTCCCGTAGGGCCTGGAGAGCGGGCGCAAAGAGGGGCGCTGCAGCTGCAATCTCAAGAGTAGTCATCAAAATAGTGCTGACGAAGGGGTCTCGGGCAATACAGCGGGGATGAAGGATGTCTTGGAATGAACCTCTTGACCCCGGCAGCCATACACGCCCCCACGAAACCAGGCCTCGGCTTACACGCTGGGAGGGGTGCAGTTCTGGCACTCGTACCAGCACTGGTACTGGTACTACCCTAAACCCATACACCCTACACCCATCTACACCCCAAAGATTCCAATCAGGTGGGAGCTCTTTATGAGGCTTTTCGTGCTTCGAGGGCTTCTGGAGGATGATATTCTTGCAGAGCTGAAAGGGTTGAGAGTGCTTAGGGACCTGTGAGCCAAAAACTCCCCCAAGCCCTGACGTGGTCTCTGGGCCGCGGACAGCTCCATGTGAATGTCCCAAGGCGGGTCGGCCATCACGACGCTTATTAAGCCTGCCCAGGGAGCGGAGCGGGCACGGTTTGTGGGTTCAGGGCTCTTGGAGGTTAGGGAGGCCCGGAGCAGCCCTTTCTCGAGGTCTGCTGTGAAGTTCAGATTTCGGTTTTTGGGGTGACAAGCTTAGAACCTAAAGCAGCAATAAGGATCCCAAGCACACGTGAACCTTGAAGCTCATTAAGTTCAGCTTTAAAACCTCGGGCAACCTACAGACTACCCTTCAGGAACTGAGCTTTGCTCGGTGGCTTTCTTTATCCCGCAGAGTCGCTGTAACTATACTCCCCTTAGAACCTTAATTTAAAGGAATATGTCAATCTCCTCTTGGGTTTTATATACACAAAAATGAAAATAATTCCCAAGGGGCATATAGGTAATAGCACGTGACACGAGCCAGAGCCCAGCCGCCTTTGAAGATGGACAGCGGAAACGAGCGCAGGTCGCAGTGTATCCACTGCCTGGGGGTTACATGCACGTAAACTTGGGGGCATGTGGGGCCTTACAAGGGAAGGCAGCAAACAAACCCCAAAACCCAAGACCCAAAACACCCGAAGCCATGCTTTTTGGACTCCTCTTGGGAAAAACAACATGAGCAGTCGCCCCCTAACCCTCAAATCACCTCAAAGCGCACCCGACCCTCTGCAAAAGCACAACACTTCTGTGTTCAGGACCTTCTAAACCTTAAGTTGCCACATTGAGGAAACCAGACTATTTACTCTATATTCCTAGAATGCTGATTCGTTTCAAGGTTCCTCAGCAACAACCCAGATCTTAGGGCCCCGTCGCGGGGAGGTCCATGCCCTTCATGACCAGCTCGTTGATGCGTTTCGTGTCCGTCCCGCGGTTCTGGACACCTTTGGATGCTCTCATTTTCAAGAAGAAAACGAGCAATACCCACAATTGCAATAATTGTGTAAAATGATGATGGTTCTCTTACTGAACGATGTCAGAAAGCATGGGCACTGCTTAACTGTGGACATGCCAGTGCGGCTGGTAGGGCCTCGGTTCTTCTAACTTCGGACCCTTTGACGAAAGATCGCACAACAAGGTGCCCTCATTTAATGCGACTCCTCTTCCGTGCTCCAGGGCTTGTAGGGTTTAGGGTTTAGGGTATAGGGCATAGGGGTTTGGGGCTCGTGATTGCGGGCTCAAGGTCAAGCCGGGTCGGTGGCCGCACTCATTGAGGTATTTGGTCTGGTCCACCGTCAGGTCCAGCCTGACAGGGCCCGGAATTCGATGGACTTTCGCGTTTAGTCTAGTTCGTGGGCTCGAAACTCTACACCCTTGAAACCAAATGCTGGGAGTAGCCGGGGCATTCAAGGAGCCAGGGTTGGGGAGCTCAGAGTTTGGGATCCAAGGCCTCAGGAGTTTGAGGGGGGGAAAAGGGGGGGAAGAGGCTTGGGATTTTCGAGCTTGGAAGGTGTTGGGAGAACTGTTTGGCAGGTCTTGCTCCGCTCTGCTGTCCAGGTGCTTTCGAACAGAAACCCAAAAATGGTAGGGCTTGGGGTTTAAGGTACGAACAACTGCTCCCATGTAACATGCACCACATTGAAGACGCTTGGCAGAGGCGGGGGGGATTGGGGTTTCAGGTTCCAACGAACTATTCCCATGTAAAAATGTAAGGCTTTGAAAATACTTGGCAGACACCGGGCTTGCGTTGCTGAGGCCCAGGGCGCGTAGTGCACATACTTGCACTTCTCGATGTGCCTGCCTCTGATCACCAGAGTTGGACGCAGCGAGTTGCAACACCACGGTTAGGGAGAAACCCTAAACCCTAAACCCCCTAAGCCCTAAACTCTAAGCCCACAACCCAGTCCCCACAGAGGTCTGGGAATTCCCAACGCGTCTCCTTGCGCTTGGGGAGCGATATTATGAAAGTTTAAGAGCATGATGCTACCTCTAGAACCAGCCCTTAAACCCAACACCCAAACAGAATAAGCCCCTTGGGTCATGCCTTTGGGGCTTTCTCACTTTCGGGGGCACTACAAAGGTTCAGGGTTTGATTTTCTGAGCGTACTGGACTCCTGGGTTTACGGTTTAGGCTTACTCCTGCTACACGCCCCATTGCCGAGGCCGGAACACGTGTCCAGATACGAACAATCGCCCAGCCTGCATGCAAGTGCCACAAGGGGCACAGGGCTTAGAGGTTTCGGGGCAGCGCATGCAACTGGACATGACGAGTGCTTCTGGCAACCTGCGGCATCTTTACCCAACTGAGGCTCATTAAAGCTCCAAGCCCTCACCCAGAATCCTTCACCAACCCTAAACCCAACCCTGGCCACCCCATGGCTTGGCTTGGGTTTTCGGTTCAGGGCCTTTAAGACACTAAACCCTAAACCCTAAAGCCTAAACCCTAAGCCTTTTTGGAAGGCCCAGAGCTTATGGTTGGGATGCTCCACCTTCGGGCAGCTGCCCCCCCCCGGCCCCGTGTGTTAAGTCCCTCTCTTTTTCTGTTCGTGTAGCTGGGGTGGGAACATCCCAACTTGAGGGTTCAGGGTTTAGGGTTTAGGGTCGAGGGTTGAGGGTTGAGGGTTGAGGGTTTAGGGTTTAGGGTTTAGGGTTTACGGTTGAGGGTTTAGGGTTTAGGGTTTAGGGTTTAGGAAAGGGGATTCTGCTACATGGCCTCTATGTTGGGTCTCGGGCTTCGGGCTTCGGGCTTCGGGTCTAGGGTACCTACCCAAAATCCAAAATTCACAATCCAGAGCCCGAAACCTTTTGCCTCAACCGAACCGGAACCCTAGTGCAGTGTCCTAAACCCCCCCACACGCCCCCCCAACACCACCCCCAAGCCCCAAAAAAGCCCCTCATAAAGGCCCCTCACAGAGAATCCTGAGGTCGCGTCGACTCGTCCGTCCAGGGCTTGATGATCTTCTTGAAATGGATCTTGGCCTCTCAACTCAGGGTTGGGGGTTCTTGGCCTCAGCTCAGGGTTGGGTTTTTTTTTGGGGGGGGTTTAGGGGGTTTGGGGGGTTTAGGCGGTTTAGGGGGTTTAGGGGCGCAGGATGGGTTTAGGGATTAGGGCATGTACAGTAGGTTCTTATAGGTTTTTTGGGACTGGTGCTTTGGAGGGAAGCCTTGCTGAATCTGGTTGGTTTGGACCAGGTTCGAAGGTGCAGAACGTCGGAGTTTGAGGGTCGCCGGCCTAGTGTGGGCTTTGGGGGTGTGAGGTGTTTGAGGCCAAGGTCCAGGCGCAGGCCGAGATGGACCCAGTTGATGCGCCTGAGCAAAGGCAAGCAGAAGGACGAGGTGACCCGGACCTTTCAAAGACTGCGCCACACCCTGCAAGTCCCAAAACCCTAAGCCCTAACTAATCTGAACAACTTGAGAAGCATCACGAGTAGCACGAACCTTCCTCGGACTTGCCCCGGAACTTGCCCAGCTCAAGAGCCCAGGTAACAAGGACCATGAATGGTCATGAATGCACGAAGGATTTGAGATTTGAAGCTTAGGGCCTGGGCCTCACGGCCGGAAACGCCCGACGACCCACCCTAGCACCCTGGTATCTGCTCTGCGTCTGCGTGGCGGCAGTCGGCACGACTGCCGTGGGCGCAGAACTGGGCCATGTTGCGCGTCCTCGGGAGTTTTGGGGCGTCAGCTTAAAATGGACTTTGACTAAAACTATGGGCCCTCCTCCTTGCAGCTTCGAGTGCCAAAAAGAGGCCTTTCATCTAGAACACACGGCACGGCTGTTGGGTAGGGCATCTTAACCCCAAAAGCCTTAAGCAAAACAGACCCTAGCCCGGGCCAGTTAATTCATGCATTTGCGCTCACGTTTCTAGGGCTCAGGGATGTTCGTGTGCAGGGTTTAGACTACTTTGGGTTCAGGTGTTGGGATGCAGGAATTTAGCGCATCACACATGTAACACCAGAGATATCTACACGTGAACCTTCAAGTGAAACCCAAGTGTCACACATGCGTATTAGTACATAGCCCCGCCATTTTAGCGACTGTTCGGACATTTCCGTTGCGGAGGTTGCTTGTGAAAAGTGCCCAAGCTCATGTCAGCAAGTCCCTGCATAAGCCCCGATTTGGGACCTTCGAAGCCGATGTTCTGACGGCCAGAAGCTGCGAAAAAACACACACCACTTAAAACTCGAACAAAAACCTCGCAAATTCCAAAGAAAGCCCACCCGAAACTCGCCATCAAACCGGACCCCGATAGTCATCCTTGTATAGTATAGATAGAACTTGGGTTTCGGGGGGGAGGGTGTTTTGTATTTTCGTGATTTGCAGGTTGTTCCACATTGTTCGGGGAACCCATACATAGAATATTTGGTACCCGTACATAGAATATTTGCGGGATCATGTTTAAGACAGCTTCTAGGCACCCGATTGAGGGTGGCTCTTGGCGTCTTGGTTTCTTGGCCCTCGCGTTTTGTTAGAGTGGCTTCTTGAAACCTCTTCTCTCATCTCTTGGCGTGGCGTCCTCTTAGGGTGGTTCCCAAGCCTTCCGGAGTGCTGTTGTACTTCCAAGGGGCTGAGGGAGTGGAGGAACAATATGGATGCTTTTGATGCGATCACCACCATGGACAGAATCTCGTCTCACTTCTCTCAGCAGCCACGTCTGGGTGCTTATCTTGGCCCCTAAACAAAATTTATCTATCGTTTTGGGAACCTGGGAAGTATTCTGTCTATGGTTTTGGAAACGGTGGTCCTTTTTTTTTGGGTTGGGATTTCAAGCCTTCTGCCTACCTGAGGATGCCTAGAAGCCTTACACCCTAAACGGGCAGCCCTGAGGTGCCAGCTTGTTCATGAACTTCTGCGCCGTAAGGCCTGGTGCCGAAGTAGGTTTAGGGTTTAGGGTTCAGGGTTTAGGGTTTAGGGTTCAGGGTTCAGGGTTTAAAGTTTAGAGTTTAGGGTTTTGGGGGGGGGGATTCTGTTTGGCGCTTGCGGTTGAGGGCGAGTCCAGGCCGCAAGGGTGTTGCACACTATTGCAGTCGAAAGCAAATGTGAGATGTGCCACAATTTGCAGTTGACTGGCTGTTTCTAAAGCTCGCACACCACAACAATCAGAACTGGTGGCTCCAGCCAAAGTTCGTCGAAGCTTCTGTTTGAGCTGCTGTAGATGAATTTCGGCGTGCGCGTAGGCACAATAACCAGGCCATCGCCGAAAGAGGGCCTGATCTGATCTTGAAAGTTGTTTGATCTCAAGAAAACCCCCGAGTCTCGTCTAAGGAATGATAGCCGGCACTCAAGGTGGTACTGGATTTCTCTCAGAAGTTTTCCTCAGATGGACTGGGTCTCGAACTCGGGCTATGCCACTGAGGGTCATTTTGAAGGGCGAATGGTCTGGAGCAATTGCTGGCGAGAACCTGTGCTTCCATCCATTCATTGCCCCTACCTGTAGCCCCGAATGCCACGTCACTAGCTGGCCGGCCAGTAATCGTCAGACGACCATGCTCAGGAAACACCAAAACGGCTCGCTGGAAAAAGGAAGCTGATCACCCATTCATACGGCGCACAAGCGCACAAGCTGATAGCAAATTTGGGTATGCCCTTCGAGGCCGTCCTTGACAAAGTAGAAACATGAGAAAACAACCTTCCGAAACGAAACCAAGAAGCACCGAAAAATTGTTCGGAGTAATTACCAATAGTATTTCGCTCATGGTCCTCTATAAGTATACGATAACAAGCCCACAAACCCTAAACCCCAAACCCTAGACCCAAAACCCTGTTCCAATCACTAAGGCCCCTACGGTAGCCCCACAGAACTTGGCTCAACCGAGCTCTCCTTCCTAGGAACCTTCTTTTACCTTGATCCTAAGCCCACACATTTAGGGCTTAGGTTTTAGGGTTTAGGGTTTATGGTTTCGGGTTTAGGGTTTCGGGTTTAGGGTTCAGGGTTTAGGGCTCGGGGTTTAGGGTTCAAGGTTTCCACATCAAGTCTAGGGGCCACCAGACACTTGGAGTTGGGAGTGGCTGTATGGTTGAGCTATCCAAAGCCCTAAAACCCCTTAAAGCCTACAAGCTTGAGACCAGAACCCTAACCCTAGAAACCCTAAGCCCTCAACCCGAAACCCTAAACCCCTAAACCCTAAACCCGACACCCTAAACCCTAAACCTCGAAACCCTAAACCCTAAAACCCTAAGCAGACCTGACTCCGAGCTCCCGGCTTTGCCGCGCTGTCGGCTCGGCAAGCAGCTGGCGGAGCTCGTCACCCGCATCGATCAGCTGCCGCCTCGTTGGAGAAAAGGGGCCGGCTGGGATAAATAGGGTTCAGGGTTTAGGGTTTAGGGTTTGGGGTTTAGGGTTTAGGGTTTATCCTCCCGCAAGTCTGAACGTGTCGCGCTTGAACAGGGGCGAGGGTCAGAAAAATCATGAAAATCCCCGCAACCACTTGCTTAAAGCCCCTCAACCCGAAGCCCCCAGACCCTAAGCCCTAAAACCTGAACCCTCAACCCTAAACCCAGGGTTTAAGTTTTGGGGCTCTGGGGGCCTCAGAAACCCTGATCCCCTAGTCGGAAAGGCCGGGTATTTTCAGGTTCCACCATTTGTCCCGGGAATGAAGCATCTCCAGGGCTTTGAGTTTAGGATTTGGGGGTTTGAGGGTTTAGGGTTTTGGGGTATGCTTGGGAGGGGTATTGAATTCTACAACTCAGCTCCCGGCTGACGCGCTGTGGGTGCCTGGAGCAAGTCCTCCACCTCTTGGCCACTCTTGTGGAAAGTGGGCGCTTAGGGTTTTTGGCGCAAGGTCGAGCAGGATTCGGAAGGCAGGGTTTTGGGGTATATTATGAGTATATAGAAGCCACTTGGGGTACCCGCAACCATAATAAACGTACTTTTACCAAAATAGAGACCCATACGGCTCAGACTCTAGATCAACGCCAAATAGGGTTTTGGCCTTCCAGGTCAAGATTTGAGGTTTAGGGTGGTTAGCGAGGCCAGATGGATGCGCAAAGCCTCCTGAACCCAGCCACGATCCCAGAACTGCTTGAACTCCAAAACCAACGTGGGCGGTGATTCGGAATGAACCTGGCCCCATGAAGCACTGTGAACCGGCAGAACCAAGCACGGAAAAGGAAGCTTTCACCAGCAAGACCCACAAAAGGATCTTGTCGGAAGCCTTCAAAACCCTGTACACAACATTGAACCTAGCTTGGGATGTTCCCCTTTGTACTATAATCCGTACTAAGGACTGTATACATCCCAAAACCTAGCTAGACACGAGAACTCAGAGAACTCAGCGCTGCACGCTCACTTCGCCCGCACTGGCTCGAGGACTTCGACCACCACTGCCCTGTAAGTTGCAGTTGAGCATTTACTCACTTATTGCGTGTTTTTTCCTGCTTCTTGTTTTCTCTTTCCGAGAGGCCCTCTGTGGAGGGCCCCAGGAGGATGCCAAACCCAGTGGGCAGACTGGCCAAAACGCCGCTGTTTCGCGTCCACTTCGATGCCTGCGCTGTTCGCAAGAAGGCAGTCGAAGAGGTCGCGCCGCCGGACGCATAGTCCTGGAGCGCTGTCTTGTGGGCTGGCTCATTGGGGGGTTTCCGGAAAGTACAGGTACCTAATTGGGGTGCTTATTCTAAGGGAGTCCTACGACTTGGGGGTCTATTTTCGGGGTCCCCTTTTTTCTTCAACCCCCAGTGGGGTCTACGCCCTCTTCCGGGGAGCTCTTGGGTCCATCAGTCTTGACCCCTCAAGGGCCTGGGCAGCAAACGGAACCAAAGCATCCGAGTGCTCCACGACGTTCACACGAGCGCGTTTCGCCTCAAAGAGGCCAGTTGAGCCCCAGGGCGGGTTGAGGGTTTCGGATTTTGGGTGAAGAGAAACTGCGCTCGAATGAAACTGTTTCAACGCTTCGTGGGGTTCGGCAATCCCGAATCTCCCAGTTGAACCCAAGTGTTCGGATAAAATCGAGGAGCGTCCCCTCCCAATATCTAGCCAGGGCTCTACGTTTTATTGGCTAGGGTTTAGGGTTGGTTTATAACCAAAAACCCAGTCCCGCAATGCAACTCAACCGTCAAAACGTATTACCAGGACTCCGTCTCGCCCCTCACACCCTAGCTAAAGATGGGCTTGACACTGCCTGTAAACTCCCGCGCCCCGCAGCCCATCGTGACTCTCGGCTGTGCTTTTCGGAGGATCTTCGCAGGGCTCTCGGGGGTTTGGGACATTCAGGTTCTGTGCCCCTTGGATCCAACAGGGTCAATCCTTTCCCTGAAAGGGCCCTGGATAGAAGCTTCGAAGGTGAGGCTTCTTAGGGTTTGGGGTTTGGGGTTTGGGGTTTAGGGTTTAGGGTTTAGGGTTTAGGGTTTAGGCTTTAGGCTTTAGGGTAGAAGCTTCCGGGTTTGATGGTTGTGGGGTTTGGGGCCCGCGCTCGAGAACTGCCAGAGCCATTTGTGGGCTCGTTCGCCAGCAACACCGAGGCGATCCTTCCCACGGAGTTGGGGGGGACTTTTAATGCGTGAAAAATTTTAAAAGGGGTTTAGGGCAGTTGTTTAGGGTAACCAGCCAATGAAATCCTATTGTAACACTCAGCATGGAACAAAGCAGCCGCTCTGTTGCCAAGCCGACCTCGCAACCTCCCCCCAACGAGGCGTACTGGCCGTGCGCTTTCCCACTTGGGGGGGGGCGAAGGATTGGCGGCGACTCGTGGCTCTTCATTCCACAGAGGCCGCTGGCGAGGGACCCTTCGCAGCCTTCTGGCCGGTGAGCCTGCTGAAATACCCTTCAGCGTCTGTGCAGGTACCAGGCGTACCAGGCCTGAGGGCCCTGAAGATGCGCACGTGGAGGGAACTAGAACTTTGGGGGGTTTGGGGGTGTGGTTGTTTCGGGCTTCAGTGATTGGACACGGCTGCTCAGAGTTCCAGGACCATTTCAATCAAAAGAATTCGCCAGCACTGTTTGCCTGCGAAAACCGAAAACAACAAAACACGGCCGGAGCCCTAAACAACCCATAGAGCAACTGATAACTCTAAAAGCCCGATAACTCTAAAAGCCCGAAACCCCAATCACTAAACCCAGGGTTCATTTGTGGTTCCGAGTTTGAGGCAGTTTAGGTTTCCGGGGCAACCCGCAATCTGAAAACTTCTCAAGACGCTTCGGCACAAACACTTCGACAGCACTATGGGGACGCGGCTGACGAGGATCTGCTTCCACAATCAGCACGTCGTCTGCCTCAGAGAGAGAGAGAGAGAGAGAGAGAGAGAGAGAGAGAGAGAGAGAGAGAGAGAGAGGTTTGGCGATGACTCTGCCAGCTTGGGGCGGAGGGCTTGGGGCATGGGAATTTGATTGTGGCGCCATTCAGACTGTTCAGCTGCTTTGTCAGGAGTCAGGATGTGCGGATGTGTGCCATTTGTGGCCTGGGGTTTGGGCACGGTGGGGGAGCCAGTAGGTTGACGATTCAGCCGCCTGGCCTAAAGCCTGAGATTTGTAGGAGGATAGAGGAGTGAGCCTTGCCCAAGAAAGTAAGAATGCAAGAGCCTGCAGGCTTTGCACTGCGACCGACAATTCCTGGCCCCCAAGCCCCAAGACAGTGACTGGGAAGCAGCAGACTCTAAAGAAGCAAGAACGCCAGCCAACCTTAAGCCCAGAGCCCCCTGACCCCATCACGAAGGCACCCGAACGCTTGGGCCGTAGGGCTGGGGCTTCAAACCCTAACCCTAAACCCTAAACCCTAAACTCTAAGGATCTTCTTAGACTTTAGGGCTTAGGACATCAGCACAGCGGCGCTGGCCGCATCCTCCAGCACCTGGAAGATGCAGTTGAGGGCTAAGGGTTTAGGGTTTAGGGTTTAGAGGTTAGGGTTTAGGGTTTAGGGTTTAGGGTTTAGGGTTTAGGGCTTAGGGTTTAGGGTTTAGGGTTTAGGGTTTAGGGTTTAGGGTTTAGGGTTTAGGGTTTAGGGTTTAGGGTTTAGGGTTTAGGGTTTAGGGTTTAGGGTTTAGGGTTTAGGGTTTAGGCTTTTGTCTTTAGTTTAGGGTTTAGGGTTTAGGGTTTAGGAGGGCTTACTGGACTCTTGGGCAGCTTTCGGGGGAGAGACATATAGATCCACTCTACAAGGCATGCTTCCACCACTGCCCAGAAGCAGTAGGATGTGGGTATATTTTCTCCCAAAACTGTCGCCGCAGTGGGTTGGGGTCCCTTTGTTGAGGGTCCTTAAAGGAGATTTTGCCAAAGTTGAGAGGGTTGAAGGGATTTGGGGGTACAAGAGTTTGGTGCTTTGGGGGGGGGTTCTTCGGAAATTTGGAGCTTCAAAGCATCCTGCGCGGGTTCAGTTCAGCGAAGCACTCACGAGCGATTCCTGTAGCTTCCTGACGGCTCCAGGTCCCTAGAAGGTTTAGGGTTTAGGGTTTAGGTTTCGGGTTTCGGGTTTAGGGTTTAGGGTTTAGGGTTTAGGGTTCCAGGTGGTTTATAAGGTTTAGGTAGAGGAAGGTTCAGGGTCACGAGGAGGAGGGTTTTGGGTCGAAAGCTTACGGAACCACCAAGCCTTCTTGGTCTTAGGACTGAATGAGACTGGCCGAGGCTTGGGCGAAGGCTTGTCTGCAGCCCGCGTCCTCTGAGGGAATTTTTACAGAACAACAAAGTGAGCATTGTTTGTTTCATCGTTTGGGCTCTTCCCATTGTTGACTTCCTACGCGGGCCTATGCGTGAACTCATGTTCTATGTGGTTGATGATTGGCTTCGCGGACCTGCACGCCAAGCCCCTCAAAAAATGGCCACACGCAACGGTTCTGTGCAGGCCGGGATACGGACGGGTCACGACATTGAACATGAGACCTGTGCTTACGCGCACTCTACGCGGAGCCTATGCCGCGCCCACGCGGAACCCCCTAGATGGAGTCTGAAATTGTCAAGGGCCTTCCTAGCACCTGCAATTCCGACCATCTCCTTCGTAGGCATGCTCTCGAATCTTGTACAGCGCCCTCACCCTCGCACTCTTCCGCCCCGCGCATGATTAGATACCACACAACCTACACGGACGTACGCACCCATGGTTCATAGACGTGCCTGCGTGGGCCCAACGCAGACCTACGCCCTGCGGGCAAAATGCTACGCTGCCGACTTCCAATTTTCACCTCTCTATATGCTCGTTCATACAGAGGAAACTGCTTTGAAAAGTGTTGTCATCCGGGACCCGGAGTTCGGGCGCATATCACAGGATGTATCGGACATTGGCAGAGTCCTGAAGGTGCTGCGCGATGGCGCGCACCGCCACCACCGTGTCCTGTGCGAAAATGGATGCAGGCACTCCTGGGGAGTTCAGATTCAGGGTTTAGGGTTTAGGGTTGAGGGTTGAGGGTTGAGGGTTTAGGGTTTAGGGTTTAGGCTTTAGTAGGGTTTAGGGATTGGGGGTTTAGGGTCGAGAGTCCAGGGCTTCGGAGCTGTGCGACTCTTTGGAGTTGCTTTTGGAGACGCCCCCGAGAAAACCCTGCCCGCAATGCCCAGAAACAAACCCCGAACGCCTAAACCCTAAACCCTCAACCCTGAACGGAATGGCGCGTCAAGAGTCTGACCGCCTGTCAGCCCATCAGCCCTTTCACGGAAAACCATCACGCACTGCAGGGGCCAGCGCCCTGTAGTATTTGAAGACAACAGACTGGCAGAGGCAAAACTCCAGGGCTCTTGACAGAATGCTTGTCCAGGCGAAGGAGCAAAGTCTGCAGGAGGATGGTGCGGTTGCACTTGGACTTTTCGCGAGGGCATTCAAGTAGGTAGCCATCCTGTATGCTGCTGGTGGGCCGTTTCAGCCTGGTACTGATTTTGTGCCGGGCCGTTTCCTGAAGAGGCCTTTCCTTTGCCACCTCCAAGCGATCCAAGGTCTTTCCTCGTTTGGGTGACGAGGAGGCTGTTGCCGTAGCTGCGAGAGATTGTTCCGGCCTCCACATCGGACATGCCCACAGGACCTGGGTCCGAAGACCGGTCAGCAGTCTGAGACTCGAGCTCCTCTTTCACTGCAGAAAATCAACCATGATCAGCCGATTCCTGTGTGTCGGACGGGGCTGCAGACTGTCACTCGGTGGTCTGAACCACCGTACCCTTGCCAAGACACCTCAACCGACCAAACCCCTAAGCCCCTAAACCCTGGAAATCCCAAAACCCCCAAACCCTATGCCCTTAAAACCTACCACCCCGAAACCCCTAAGCACCAAAACCCGAAACCTCAAACCCAAGAAACAAAAACCACCAAAATCCACTTGGGGGTTTACGAGAATCAGGGACCCTAATATAGTCCTCGAATAATAGGATTCGCTTGCAAAAAAGGACCCCAATAAGGTAACCCTAAACCCTAAACCCTAAACCCTAAACCTAAACCCTAAACCCAAAGAACCAAAGCAACGAAAACCCACTTCTCACCGGGCGGCCGAGGCCCGGAAGACGGAGAGCGCCGACCGGGCATGCCCAGCTCCTCAGTGATCGAGGGCTTCCGAAGGCCCAAGCTTGAGAGGGTCTTGGCGTGTGGGGTTTTAGGGTTTAGGGTTTAGGGTTTAGGGTTTAGGGCTTAGGGCTTAGGGCTTAGGGTTTAGGGATGCCGAGCCCTTTTGGGAGCCTGCGGAGGCCCTTGCAAACTAATATACGGGAGGCCCTTACTGGAAGGGGGGGGGGGGGAGGCCTCGTCTCGGCATGGCCCTCTCACCCTTGAACTCAAAACCCGAATCCAAACAAGATCCTGGCTTTGGGGGTACTGGTAGACGTGCGCAAATGCACAAAGATGAGGGTTTGGGCCTCTCTAATTCTTAGCACATCTAACTCGGGTTTCGAGGGCGCAGGGGATGTTGCTGCCAAATTTTTTACTCCTGCACCCCGGACAGGTTCAAGACTGGTTGTTAGGCTTAAGGCTTAGGCCCTAACCCTGAACTCGAGATCCTTTTTAAACCCTAAGCTTGGGGAGTTGAGAAGCCGTACCACATCAGGACAGGTGGCTCATGTGCTCTCTGCGCAGGGCCGCATTGAGGCCTGGCTTAGGGTTGAAGAGAAGCTCAGGATTTGGGGCTCTAAGGGTTTAGACTGTCTGGCTTAGGGTTGTTCAAGCCATGGCATGTGGAAAAATTTCGGAGGCTCCCTGGCTTCGAATGTAGGTCAACGGGCGTGATCTGTCATCCCCCCGACAGTCATCGCTCCCACACCCCCGCAAACGACCTTTACCTTCGCGAGGCTTGACAGCTGTAAGACTAAGCCAAATCTCCCTGGAGGCGACCACAGAGCACTGAGTTAAGGTCCATCCAGACCTCTGGAATAAAATCAAAGAACAAAAAGGGAGATTCTGGAACTGGGACCCGGAAAGCTGTGATAATGGAACCATGGTGAGCAGCACCAGGGCAAAGCGAAGGAGGATAATGAGGGCACTGTCACGCTGCGACAGTGCAAATTATGGTTCTGTGGTTCAGAAAGGCTTGATCGTTGGATGGTTGACGGTAACTGCTCAGGGCTGCAATGAGGGAGGGGTTCTGCCGCGGCCGAGCTGGATGTGCGGGGGCGAGGCTTGTTCTGGTCTTGCTGGGGCTTGTGTTCCGCAGGAAACCGGTTCAGTCAGGTTTCCACCCTGACAAGCAACTAGTTGGCTAGCAAGGCATACCAAACAACTGTTACTGAGGCCGTAAATATGGTGTGTGTAGTCTGCCTGGGGGTATGTTTCCATGCACACCTGAGGAGTGCTCGACCTGCGCCCACTCATTTCAAAAGAGGTGTGTGGGATGACAGGTTGCACTCAAGCGTTTCGAGTTCAGGGGGGGTTTTGGGAGCTACGGTAGGAAGCTGTTCCACCCCCCCACGTCACCCAACATGCCAGCAAGGCCAACCCCGCTGACCGGGCACGGGCCGAAGTCACTGGATCCGCAGATGAAGCGCACAATGCAGCGCCGCAATTCCTGGCAGGGGGAGGCCACGGATTGACTACTCTCGACCCTGCCGTGAATCCCTCAAACCCCACCCATGAGTGTGAAACATTGACTTTGTTTTCCTCAAAACCCCCAAACCCCCCACCCCCCAACCCGCACCCTGAACGATTGCCTTCGGGGTTTTCGGTTAGGGCTTGGTTTATGTTTTAGGGGGGGACGTCTCATCTCCGGGCAATTGGTTTCAGGGCTCTGGGCTTAGCGTTCTTCAGCGTGCTCATGATTGGGTTTAGGCTGTTTTAGGGTTGAAGGCTGCCGTCACTTGACCTTAACCCTCAAAGCCTTAAGCCCCACGAAGGGGACATTATGGGCTGCTCGAAATGCGCCTTCCTTTTAAAAGAAGAAGGGGGGGACTCCAATTCGAACTTCTGTCTAGTTGTCGCACACTGCTCTACAACTACGGTTTCGGGTTTAGGGAGCCACATTTGACCCCTACGCTAGACCCTGAATCCTAAACCCTGAACCGCATGCGGGGGAAGGGGGGTTACTACCACCGTGAACTCACCCAGCCATCGTGAACCCCTAAACGCCAACGAAGGCTTAGGACTTCCGCCCGAACACGAAGACTTAGGGTTCAGGCTGTTTAGGGTTCAGGGTTCCGGGTTCAGGGCCCAGGGTTTAGGGGAACACCGAGTGATTTCATGCCGATCCGTACGCGCTGTCCATTGCCACTCTCGAGTGAAACAAGCCAGACCCCCTAGCTGGGAAAGCGGGCGTGCTGTCGTTCTCTGATAAATCCATGCCCTCAGAAGCAAGGGGCACTCTTTCCATGCCCATGCAACAAGGAGATGTGAAATGCTTTGCTTTCAACTGTGTGCATTGGGTATTTCTGCACATTCAGCTGAGAGTTCTGACAGAAAAGTCCTGTAACGTGAGCAGTCGATGCCAAAAAATTCGCGCCAACATTGGCTGAGAGGTGCGTGTGCGTGCTAGTAGCCGCGAAGTAGGCAGCAGCGGCCATGGACTGCAGCTCTCTACTCCGCTGGTGCCGTTGCGGCCGTAGGAGCGGCGCTACCCATTTCGTTGATCTGCAAAAATTCACGCTGCGAAGTTCACACTGGCTTGTCTCCACGCCTTAACGATGACGGCTGCGGCTTCAAGGTTTTCTTGTTTGTGTGAGAACTTCACCTAGGAACACAGCACTTGCTGTCGGTTCCTGCGGCTTTCTAGCTGTAGGGGACAAAGAAGCGATGAACTCAAACACTGTGAAGCTGATGTGACCTAAGGCCAGGTGTGCTGCCGTAGGCATGGCAGCCACCGCTGCAAAACCTGCAGGCAACTGTGAAAAACCTGTTCCGGAAAAAGGCGCAGCAAAAGGCCCCCCCACATGGGACCTGCATGTTCAGGCCTCCGAGCCGGGCCCGGAAAGGCCAGAAGAAACTCTGAGCGCACTTCAAGAGTTTAGGTTCTCCTTTTCAGTCCAGGGGGCTTGGGGCTTTCGATTACTTAAGACGTGCTCGTCCTTGCTACTGCCACTCACTTAGGAATCTTCAGGCTGAACGTCAAATCTTCGCAGATGCTTGTGAAATCGAGCTTAGGCAAACTAGCCTTAAAGCAGGTTGGCCAATTTGAGGCTAGACCATACACAAACCTTAAACCCTAAAGCCTAACAGCAAGGCCTGCGGCCCGGACGCCTTGGCATTGGGATGATTGAAATCTTGTTGTTTTGTACAGGCGTGCCGAGTTCATCGGTCGCTTGTATGGCCTGGAAGCTCACAATCTCCGCTTTGGCCGTACACAATGCCATTCGGATAAGACTATGCTGGGCACATGCTTTAAGAGAGAAAGTGTTCCTTCCATGTTGAGTCTTTGGAGGACTCATAACAAAATCCAGAGCAAAGGCTTGTTGCCCCGGCCGCACAAGCACCCCGTGCCACTGCACCACCTCTCCGCACTTTAGATCCAAGATGAATGGTACCAAGCAGTGCTCTGGTAGAAGAGCGTCCCATCTTCAAGATGCCCTTCAGAACTCATACGTTACCAGATCTGCCTGACCCCTCCAAGCCAGACTCGGAGCCCCAACGCGAGGCGCAGCAAGTTTCGTCGGAGGAACGCTTGAAGGCGGGGGCACGCGCTGCTCTTCCTCAGCTCTTGAGCGGGGCTCAGAGCGACTTCAAAGCCCCCACAGCCTAAACCCTGAACAAGACCCTGTTTACGGAAGCAGGCGCCCCCCCCCCCCCCAACCCTAAAAAAGCTACCAGAAACTCTGAAACACCCCCCCTACCGCCCCAACCTCACAGCCTCACAGAAAACCCAAGAGAACCCAAAAGAGAGCCCTCTGTCGTCCATGCCACTTCGACAGCCTCCTGTGTATCTCCATCAAGCCATGCCATGGCTGCGGACACCTTTACTCCAGGCACAGATCCTCCTGCGGAGGCACGGCTTAAGGGGTGCAAAGGGAGGTGTGAGGGAGGTGTAAGGGGAGCGTAAGGGGGTTCTGCGGGCGCTTCAAGGGGGATGTAAAGGGGGTGCTAGGGGGTGTCAGGGGCTTCTGCCCTTCAGGATTTTCATGCAGGAGATTTCAAGCCCTAGGCACGTCGGGGCTCTGGGGCCTCAGGGGTAGGGCGATCGGGTCCAGATTGCTGCCTCTAGTCGGGATTAAGGGACTCAAGGAGCTGCGTCTCATGGGCCGCTATGGTCTGAAGACTTCGGAGGGTTTAGGGTTTAGGGTTTAGGGCTTAGGGTTTGGGGTTTAGGGTTTAGGGTTTAGGGTTTAGGGTTTAGGGTTTAGGGTTTAGGGTTTAGGGTTTAGGGTTTAGGGTTTAGGGTTTAGGGTTTAGGGTTTAGGGTTTAGGGCCTCTCCCTTGGCTCCTGCTGGTGCCTTCATCTCCGGCACCCTGGGATCATCCTGGGCTGCCCGATCATCCCTGTCCCTGCTGTGGCCGTTGATCGGTGGCCTTCTCTCCTCAGGAGCCTTCAATCTGGTCTCCTGGCTCTAGGGTTTAGGGTTTAGGGTTTAGGGTTGAGGGTTTAGGGTTTAGGGTTGAGGGTTGAGGGTTGAGGGTTTAGGGTTTAGGGTTTAGGGTTTAGGGTTTAGGGTTGAGGGTTTAGGGTTTAGGGTTGAGGGTTGAGGGTTGAGGGTTTAGGGTTTAGGGTTTAGGGTTTAGGGTTTAGGGTTTAGGGTTTAGGGTTTAGGGTTTAGGCTTGGTTCTGGTCTCCTGGCTTTCAAGGAGACATGGGGGGTGCTTCTTCCGAAATTTGGGGTCCCTTTTGTTGGGGTCCGTATGATGAGGGAATCCTAGTCTCCTGGCTTTCAGTCAGACATTGGGGTTTCTCCAGAAAGTACGGGGTGCCTTGTTGGGGTCCATGTTATAAGGGAACCCTACTCTTTGGGGTATAGGGGGTCCCTTATTTTCGTTGACTCCCACATCCCTCCAACCAGAAGGATTCCTACAGCCTAAAGACCAGCAACCTGCTTCCGCTCCCTATGCCCTCGCACGGCGTAGAACTCAGATAGACGCTTCGAGGCTCTCGCGACACACTTGGGGATGTGGAGACATGCAGTCCTTACTTGCAACTTGCCCCAAAGCTCGCAGACACAAAAACTGAAACAAACCTCTAGAAACCCTCAAACCTACATCTAGAATCGAAGCCCTCCACCCATCCAAGCCCTCCACCCAAACCCTGAAACCCAGCCTCAAGATTCGTTTCTGTAGACTGGCCGCCGACGAAGGGAGGCGCAAGAGCTTTCAAAGGCTGCTTCTTACGAGCGGGAGCGGGGCTTTGCTTGACGACCTTGCTTTTCAGAGGCTTGCGGCTGCCGGTTTCGTGTTTAATCGGGCTTTGGGTCGGGTTTAAGACGTTCGGTGTGGATTGGCAGCCTTGGGTTGAGGATGCGAGGCGTTCGAGTTTAGGGTCTAGGGCTGAGGTTCGATGGCTGAGCGTCGGTCTCGACCGTGAAGGCTTTAGGCGAGGGTCTACTAAGGATCAATGACATCTTTTCTGGGTTGGGCTCCCGAACCCCAAACCCCGAACCTTAAACTCAAAGGTGAGTTGGGCATTTTCTGGCTTTGTGCCCCGAGCCCTTGACCCTGAGTCTCCAGGCCCTCCAGACAAAGCCCGGCTCCGCGCCAACCGAACGAAATTTCAGCCTCTAAAATGTCGACACCCAATCAGGAGGCAATGACAAGCCAAGAAATTGTTTTAACAGCGTTCGGTTTTCACAGCTGCACTTCACACGTTGCGAAAACAGTCAACAACATTTGCCGCCTGGAAGTCGCTGATAGCCCTAATCTTGCCTGAGCCCCATCCGAAACCAAGGGGCCTGGCTTTGTCGTAGCTGCGTATACGGTAAAATCTGCGGCATCTCCTTGGGGGGTTCGGCTGTAGGACTGCTGTAGGGCTTACGGATTTGGGACGAAGGCTCCTAGGGTTTTCAGCTTCTGGTTGAGCTGAGTTTAAGGCTTTGGGGTTCAGAGTTGAGGCCCTTCGTCAACTGGGCTAAGGGCTTAAGATTCAAGGGACGACGTTCAAGAGCTTCGCGCTTAGGAGCACACGCCTGGTAGAACGACCTGGGGAAAAAGGCACGGTTCCGGACAACGAAGCCCTCTCCTCTTTCCAAGCATCACGGCTCCGGAGTGGAGCCATCGAAATGTCGGTGTGTGTGTGTGTGTGATTAGATGCATCACCTCTGATCCTGAACCCCTGTACCCCCGCGCTTTCATTTTGCAGGCTGGACTCCGGCCCATACGTCGCCGCATGATGACGCGCGAGGGACTTCTTCGTGTCCTCGGAGCCCCAAAAGCCCTTATCTTGGTCATTCGCCCAGCTGACGATGCACCATCAGCCTTCAAACCCAAGCAGGACCCGAAACCCCCTTCGAAAAAGATAGCACTCCAAAACCTCAACCCAAAAACCCCACACCCTAGTGGGGCAGAGGGCACATGGGCGGGGGGGGGGGGGGAGGGGGAACTACGGGGAACATCTGCCGCCCGAGCTCAATAATTGCCATGGGTGGCGGCCGCAGCCACTTCTGAGGCTCGGCCTCGAGGCTTGGGGGGGTTGCAGGATTACAATAAGCAGATAAGTACAATTCACATGTAAATGCTGTAAAACTGTGATACTGTAATCCTCCATGAGTGTTGATACTCTAATGCTCTGAGTGTTTGGTGTGGGCTTTAGGGTCTGCAGGCCTGCTCAAACCCCTGGACTCAAAGCCAACCCCAAGCTTCCCAAACCAGATGCGCCTGCAAGAATGCCTGTGGCACAGTATCCGAGCTGATCGTCATGAACGCCTGATGTATGCAGTTTTTGAGATGCTCCTGGCGAGGTCAAGGCGCTTGAGAAGCCTGTCTATGTCCATCTCTGCATCTCGGACGCTCTAATACACTAACACGATAATACTATACTACTTTTTTACTAGAATACTATAATACTATAATACTCAAAAAGAGTTTAATGATATATTGCTACTATACAACAATACTACAAAACTACAATACTACCATACTATAATAGTAATGCCAGAATACATACTATAATAGTAATGCCAGAATACTCTAATCCCATCATAATCTCATACTATTATCCTGCGGCTCTTGGAGCTGACGGCCAGCTCAGAGGCCATGTTAAGACGGACGAACCCCCCCTCCCCCCCTCACAAGATCACAGCCCTAAACCCTAAACCTAAACCCTAAGCCCTAAACCCAGAGCTCTCCTCCTTGTCCGTCCCTAAGACGCAATTCAGATTCCGAGGCAGGAAGGGATCCTCCACGTGAAGTCTTGGTACTTCGCGGCGGGGAAGGCTGACAAAATCAGGATCCGAGCTCATCTTGCGGTGGCCAAGCCGCACAGAGACCACTTCTGTCCCCCACACAAAGGTCTGCGTGTAGAAGGTGAAGAAGCGGAAAAGCAGCTCGGGGAGCTGTGTTGGGCAGAACCAGTCATACTTGAGGCTGTGCAGTGGACCCACACTACTGAAGTCTTCCACCCGCAAGCAGGGCAGTTTCTGGTCGACTTGCAGGAAGTAGATGACCATCAATGCAAAAGTGTAGGACGACAGATACCCCTTTGGGGCACCACAGACCTCAGAAGCTTCCACAAAAGAGAGGCCCACAAACTCAGTTCAATACATCACCCTGCAGTAATGCCCTACAATCACACAAGCCCTCTTGGCTCCGATGCACTTCAGCCCATAAGGTTTGCGCACATGAGGGAAGGCGAAACGCCACCTCCAGGATTCAATGGATCATCTCACATTTTGCACCCTGGGTATCGCGAATGACTCAAGCTTGAGCGCGGACGAAAGGGTTCGATGTTCCAGGGTTAGGTCATGGGGGTAACTGAGTTTACGGTTCAGGAAGCCCTGCCGCTGCGTCGTAATTCTCGGGAAATCGAGCTTCGCACGAGTTGGCCCGGTGAGATGGCGCGCGTGCGGATCGCGATTCGCGCATGAGTCTGCCGAAGTGTTTCCCTCAACACACCCCGCCAATGTTTCCACGGCCCCAAAGATGCCCTCTCCATGTTCCACCAAGCTTCTCCTTGGGCCTTGGCCCAGAACTTAACGCAGAGAACCAGCTGCCGGACTACGGGGTGAATGTCCGCATAGGCCCGCAGCAGATGTGTGTTCTGCAAAGCCTGCGGGTTGTAGCCTCGGAGAAGCATCTCAACGGTCATTTAAAATGCTCTTGCTGGGGTTTAGGCCGATAGGCGAGTAAGCCCACTGGATTTAGCTAGTCGGGGCTTTGGGCCTCCTTTCACAGCTCAAGATCACTCTGCCGGGAGCCTTTGCTGTTGGGGCTTGGATGACCCATTGTTGGGTTTAAGGGCCTTTGTATGGGCCCTTAAAACAGTACCCCTTAAATACCCCTTATTTCCCCGATACAAATCCGCCGAGGCCGTGGGCCGTAGGCCCCGGTATTTTGCACTTTTTGGGCTGAGATGGGTACACCCCTGGCCGACAAGTGTCCGGGAGCAAACGGTGCATCAGGCCACTCCCGTACACCCAACCCCCACCACCCCAGCCCCCACCCCCCAACCCCCCCCACCCCCCCCCCACCCCACCCCCCCCACCCCCACCCCTGCCTTCTTACAGAAGCTCAGGCCGAGGCGGGCCGCGTAGCGCAAAAATTAAGGGCCAATACATCAGAACCCTTGAAAGGAGGTTAGGGACCACATAAAGGGCCCATGAAACTACCCTCAGACTCATGAAACTACCCTCAGACTAGGGTGGCACGCAGAACCTCACTCTGTGCGCTAAAAGCCCGAACGTCCACTGAAAGAACCACCGTCGTCTAAAGCTCTTGCCGAGTGTGAAACTCCGGCAGCTCCCCATCCACATGGTGCCCAAAAACCGGTTTAGGGTTTAGGGTTTAGGGTTTAGGGTTTAGGGTTTGGGGTTTGGGGTTTGGGGTTTGGGGGTGAGGGATGAGGAATCTGGGCAAGAGGCAAGATAAGTCGACATCGATGACGTCCAGGAACCGCAAGCGAATTATTGGCACTCTTGCGGACCAAATTTCCTAAGCAGGCAATCAGGTCTGCCTGGTTTGACCCTTGTGCGGGGTGAGCGTAGCGACCCCTACTGGCAAGCCCACCTGTGAAGAGATTGAAAAGGGCTTGGGGTTTGCAAGCCCCGAACTCCATAATTCAGCTGACGGTCCTGGGTAACTTTGAACATCTGCTGTTGCCGCAGCAGCGGTAGGATGCGGTACTGGAGCTCCTGCACTGCACGCTGGCTGTCCTGGTCCTGCGTTTAGGGCTTAGGGATGTTTAGGGCACAGGGTTTACCTGAATGCCCAGCAGATGAGCGGCTTTCGCTTTAAGAACTCTAGCACGGTTTGGTTACGTAGTTGAATTTGATTAAGCTTAGGGCTTGGGCTTCGACATGTTTATGATGGTCTGGGGCGCTTTGGATTCGGAGTCCAGGACTTAGGACGAAAAAGTCCGCGTAAGTTTCGGACTTAGGGGCTGGGGCTTCTTGCGTGGGCGTGCTTCGGTCCAGGTTGTCGGTCTTGCAGCAGCAGACATCGAGATCTGCGCCGCGAGACAGGAAACCGTTTGCCGAACTCCCAAATGCCTGGCAAGGGGTACACTGGCACACCCTGCACCCCCCAAGGGATGCGAGAGCATTCAGATGGCAGGGTGAACTCTAAAGTGTTCTGACATGCCCTCCTGCGCTACTCCACAAAGCTTGCAAGCGAGAGCTTACACGCCACTAGCTTCGTTAAGAGTTTGGGATTGTGAAGAGCTTAGGATTGAAGGTTTCACCGCTCTGACTCTAGCAGACACTGGCATCTAAAGCCCTGCACGGCAAGGACTCCGCAGGCCGACCTGCACCTCCCACTCCGCGCCAACTTGCTTCACGACCGAATTGAGTTCCTGAATACCTCGGGCAGTTGGGCTTTGGCTGGGCCACTCTCCCCATCAACCCCTTTCAGGCAATTGGAAACGAAAGTTGCCAGCATTTTGGTTCGCAATGCGGATGCCGAGAAGTTAACGCCCAAAGGGCCTAAATCGTAGGGCTTGAGGTTCTATGCAGAATTTTTGCACATGAATGTTATCTGTGCCAATTTTGTTGTGGGACTTTTACCAAGGCTTCAAGTTTGAACGCCCGGGCCCTGGTGCAAGGGCATCCAGTATCCATTGCAGTCTTCAATTATCTGACTGTCTGAGACGGGCTTTGTTAGGCCCTCCAGCCGTCCCCCAGAAGCCCTCATGGCCTGAGACCAAAAGCGAAGCCGAAGCCGCAAAGATCGGGCATCAACCAACATTCAGGCAGGATGTTTCCGAACAGGTTGTGAAAACGCGTCAGCGCTTTGGGTTCGGTTGGGCTTTGGGGTGCCCGGATCTGCCCCCCCCCAAACCCTAAACCGTAAACCCTAAACTCTAAACCCTACACCCTAAACCGTAAACCCTAACCCTAAACCAGCCATGTCACAGCGACCATGTACTTCCCTCTCCTCTGGCAGAGGCTCCAGAAAGTTGAGGGAAGCCTCGGCTCTCGGGGTCTTGGGTTTAGGGTTTAGGGTTTAGGGTTTCGGGTTTAGGGTTTAGGGTTTCGGGTGTAGGGTTTAGGGTTAGGGGATAGAAGAGCCCTTGGAGGGGTCTGAGAGGGTTCTTGAGGACCCTCTTCAGGGCTCCGCCTCTTTCCGCCAGCAGGACTCTCTCTGAGGTTGAGGTCGAGGGGATAGCTGAAGTTCTTGAGCCCCCAGGATTTTGGTAAAAAAAAAATGTGCAAGGAGGTGCAAAAGCAGTCTCATGAGCTTTGGAGGGTGCCAAGACACCATACAAATTGCTCCCAAGCGAAGGTGGGGGGGAAGAACAACAAGCATCCCAGAAAGGGTCCGCGGGTCGAGGCATGAGAGCACTTCCACAGCTACTCGACATGTCAACCTCGCCCCAAAACCGGGTTTAGGGTTTGGGGTCTAGGGTTTAGGGTTTAGGGTTTGGGGTTTAGGGTTTAGGGTCTAGGGATTAAGGTTTAGGGTTTGGGGTTTAGGGTTTAGGGTTTAGGGCTCATATCATGTGCTGCCAGGAGCACCTCCAAGGCAGTTGCCAAACTTGGCGAGCTCGCCATGCCATCGAAACCGCCGCATCCTGCGAACGAGCCTGCGGCAAGGAACTTCTAAAAGACTGCAACGTTGGTTCAGGGGTTGAGGGTTTACAGTTTGGGGTTTAGGGTTCAGGGCAGTTCAGGGCTCCTTGTTAGGGTTTTTGGGGGTGTAACTTGGTCGGCCCAGCAGAGGAAACGTGACGAGCTCCCCGTTGTTTCAGCCATATAGCGAGCATCCCAACCCTGAGCCCCAACCCCGGAATGGAGTACAGCAATCCAGGGCGTCAAGGGTTACGACCGCAAGGTCGCAGTTTTTCTCGCAAGATATCCTACTGCGGTGAGCCCAGTCAGACTCCAAACTCAAACCCCCAACACTAAACTGTACAGGACCCTTTTCTGAGCATCCGCGCTCCACAACTCCAAAACCCTGCCAGACAACATCACAACAACCTGCAGACCTTTGGGATGCCGACCCAAACCCTCAATTTCGAAAAACCCTGAACCCGCCCCGCAAAACCCTCTGCCCAGAGCCAGCCTGTTCCCATTTGATGCGGCATCAAAGCGAGGTCATAGTTCCTTGCAGAGCTGCTAAACCTTAAACCCTAAACCCTAAACCCTAAACCCTAAGCCCTAAGCCCCAAGCCCTAAAGCCTAAACCCTAATTCATGGTCTCAGGGCTTGCTGGGGGGGGGCTGAGGCCAGGGAAAACCTTCTGCTCCCGAGGTACCCGAGTCGTAATGGTTCCTGAGGAGGGTTCTAATACCCGGAACCGGAACCTGATGGAGAACCGGAGTTGCCCCACTGCTTCTTGTCCGCGTGCACACGAAAAACCCTCACAAATCACGCGGGATCGCACATATTTACACGTTGAGCACACGAACTCCAACGATTTCTCCACATAGAAGTCAAACATAAGGAAACGTTCGACGTGGGATCGCAACATTTTGCCGGCGTGGGGCGCGCAAAAGCCTCGCAAATCACATGCGGCCACCACATGATCTACGTTCGCAACGTGCGAGAACCTCGAAAATTCCGCAGCTACGCAGGATTGCCACGTTGTCTATGCGTGGACCGTGCGAAAACCTGGCGAATCATGTGGGATTGCAATGTTTATCCGCGTGTGGAACGTACGGAAGCATTACAAAATCAAGAGGGATCGCAACGTTGCGACATGCGAAAACCTCGCAAACCACGTGGGGCTCCGCAGCGTTTTCTGCCCATGAAAGAAGTGGGGGCACGCAAAAAAAAACCTTCATTTTGGCTCCTGAAGTCTTGAGGCCAATCTTGCTGAACTGTGGGAGGCACGGTCGCAGGTTCTGGAGCGTAGCTTCAAAGCGCTAAGCCCAAGACGAGTCGGACTGCGAGGGAGCTCCAAGACTCTTGAGGGCGCTGTGGGTTCGGAGCTGGGGCCCAGCTTCCCGGATTCTGCTGCGAAGACCGGAAGCCCAGCTTGCTAGAACTCCACACTTGCCGGCTGACACGACAACCCTGACATCATCCTGAGCTCCTTCAAGTTATGAGGGCACCCCTAAGCTGGTCTAGACTCTAGGAGGTTTAGGGTTTAGGGTGTTTAGGGTGTTTAGGGTTTAGGGTTTAGGGTTTAGGGTTTAGGGTTTAGGGTTTAGGGTTTAGGGTTTAGGGTTTAGGGTTTAGGGTTTAGGGTTTAGGGAGCCTAGGACCTCAAGGTTATGGCAGGAAAGGGACGGCGAAGCCCAGTCGTTACCTCAGCTCGGCGGGACAGGGTCTGCACACCCAAGACAGGCCAACTCGGCCAAACCCCACCAATCAAGCTTGAATTTTACAAGGGCTTAGGGTTTAGGGTTTAGGGTTTAGGGTTTAGGGTAATTAGTCAACTCCTGACTGTTATTGGATCGGAGCTAGAAGTTTCCGCGAAGAACACCTACTTAAGAGGCGGCATGCGGCGGGATGAACAGCAACGCACCCACCTACGTCTCAAGGTGGCACGAAAAGCACAAACGCGAGCAACCAATGCCTACTTGCGAGGGCGGCGCACGACAAGATGAAGGAGGACCCGGGGGGTTCTTGAAAACATGCAGTCCACATCGAGTCAACTCTGCCACAGGACTCGGCAGCAAGCTTTGAGGATTCTAGCCTCACTCAATCATCAAGCCTGGATGAGGGATATTATATTATATTCTAACTTCAGATCCCCGGGTCGGGCACCTTTTAAGCAACAAACCGAGGGGGATCCCTTGTGGGAAGGATCCTCCCAAATGGATACCTTTCTGGAACACCCCCTGGACTTCCTCATGCTCCCAGGGCACGTGGCCGACCATACCAATCGCCATGATTTGGGTCTCCTCCTTCGAGCTGCCAGCTGTCTCCCCCCTTATACCTAACGGTCCCTGATAGGGATTAGAATAGGGGCACTAGAACATCCCAATGTATGGGGCCTTTTAGGGATCACCCAGAGCCCTTGCCACCAACGCAAATGAAGACTTCGCTAGGGGCCGAAGCCCACATCCCAAACCTGAGAACCCAAGAGCCCAAGCATCTCAAAACCTCTAACCGTTAGGGTTTAGGGTTTAGGGTTTAGAGTTTAGGGTTTAGGGTTTAGGGGGTTAGTTACAATCAAAGGAAGGGCTGCTAGAAAGGAGGCGGAGGGGGGTACCTCTGGGGTCCTGGTGCTTTGTTTGGTTTGGTCTTCAGGCCGTACAATCATGTGTTGATCTGAGGGTGAACGCCTGGGTTGAGAAAGCATTGTGGACTGAAGGCTTGCCATGCATGTGGAGCTTGTAAACAGCTCCATTGTGGTTTAAACAGGCAGCAACTTGTAGCTGCATGCCCCAGGGGGTTTAGGGTTTAGGGTTTAGGTTTGCCCTCAACCCCACCCAGGTGTCTCTGCACATTGAGCCGGGAGGCTGAAGCCAAAGCGTCCTACACCTGCATTTGGCGCGTACTGCCACATTAGCCAGCGTATCCCAGCCTGTCCCTGTCGGATCTCGCCTGTCTGGGCGTCTTAGGGATACTTGTAGATTTGGGAATGGAACTTCTCGTGCAGGATGGTGCAGGGCAGAAGCAGAACAATTTCATCCATGGAAACAACAGCAAACCCCGGATTTTGCCCGAGCCATTTCCAGCCTTGGGCGGCGGCCACGGCAAAAAGCGCGTCAAGTTATCCAGATGCTGTGATGACTTCACAGGACGTGGACCATAGAAAACGAGCCGTTTAAAATGGCCGAGGCTATGCATCACACATGCACTACCAAGGTCGGTCACAGGCAGTTGAGGGCACAGGCTTTCGGGACTCTGGCGCCAGAAACCAAAAAAAGGAAGCAAAGGATGTGGATGTAAACTCGGGGAACTACCTCTTCTGGGAAAGACCACGCCACAGACTAGCCACCCTGTGTGCAAACCCTTTGACCCGGTGCATGGAAAGCCGTGCCTCTGCAGATGAGGGGCAGGAGCTGTGTGCAGAGAACGGAGGCGGCGTTGGCAGCCTCTTGTTTCAATCCGAGGGTTTGCGGCGTTTATACCACAAGCCGACAGGGTTCCTAGTAAAGGGTGCACGCATTCACCGCCACTTGCCCTAATCATCCCCCACACCCCACAAAAGAGAACTAGCTCCCCACAACTAATCGACACGCCTTACTTCACAATGGAAACCCCTGTGTAGTTTGGGGGGGTGCCATCCTTTCGTTTAACAAGGTACCGGGCTCTCTGGGAAGCTGGGGCTCAGGCGCGCTGCCTGCATCTCTTGCTTGGACCTCCTGACCCCGCTTGGAGGGGGCTCGGGTCGACCTCGGACGAGGGCTTGGAAGGATGACCGAGGACGAGCTGTTGCTGGCATCAGTATATTCGTAGTATATATTGATATGACTATCAATGCTCTTATAAATGTTAAGCGTTAACGCTCTTCATTCTTGAAAGTATTATTGTTATTCAGCTTGTGAATGGTTGTTTGAAAGTCTTTTTCGCTCTTCTAAAGCTGCTAGGCGCCATCCTGTTCTGCTTCGACGTGTCTCACACTCTTGTACAGCTCCATCTCTGTTTTGTTTGAGCGCAGTCTTGGCTCTTTTCCCCGTGTCTCCGTACTGATTGGCCCAAAACCATCCCAAAACCTCTTTGACAACCTGGAGTCTTCGGATAAAAAGCTCAACGATCACTTGGCGGCCCCCACTGGCTAACCTCTTTGCGACTTCTGAAGTATCTCAGGACTCGCTTCATCTGTCCATGGACTCGCCTTCCGCCGCCTTCTCAGCCCCTTCAACCCCCTCCTCCCGCCTCGGCGCTTTCTCAGTCTCGACCCTGATCCTGGTTTGCTGGGTCCCGTCGCAGTGCTTGCCCTAGTTGTGCAAGAACATTCCATGGAGCAGCCATCATCTTTTTTGCCTTCACCGGGCAGGTGGCTATCACCCCCACTTCTTTTGCCAGCACCACGGCGTGCCTCATCTTCACAAGGCACTTCTAGACAGGCCCCTCACGCAAGTTCCAGAAAGCAAACTCCCGAATGCCATACAAATCGGACCCGTGACCCGTGACCCATGCACCGCCCCTCAAAAGTATGAAAGCCGCAGCTGCAGTCCAGGCATGGCGCTACTTTGGGAAGATACTGCTAAATACAGGTCCCAATGAGTGCCTCCTCCTCCACAAGTTATTCAAGCCATCCCCCCAAGACTAAGCTGCGCTCGGTTCAGGGGGGCGGACGCCCTCAACCAAATTTGGTACGGGTGTTAGCTCTCTTCCTCTCTCTTAACGTGTGATTGAATGCTGCGCTGCATCAGAATAATTTGCGCTCGACTGTCGATTGTTCGGGCAACCACGTCTGATAAGCAGTGTCACAGACCTGGCGATATCTGATTGTTCCTAGCCAAACCCCTAAACCCTAAACCCTAAACGGCGATTGAGGCTGCTGCCTCAAGCCGCTGTCAATGCCATTGCCTGGCCTGACGGTCGACTCGAGCCATGACGCCCAAACCCCGAAAACACACGAACAATGTAGGCTTTTTGTGTAGTAGAAGCCTCTCCGCCTGCAAATCTACTCCGATGCGGGCCAACCTGGCCCCATTGGCAGGCGATGTCACGGAAGAGCCATTTGCAGGCGCTACTCCAGCGCCTGCATCCTGACCTTCGGCGGCAGAAACCCTGAATCTTGAAGCTTTCAGAGTCTCTGGCTCATATGGAAATACCTCCGCATGCACAACACACAAATCGCCGCACCTGCTCCAGCACCAAGCACAGCCTGCCGTAGCGTGGGTTCCGAGCATGGGGGGTTACAGCCTGTGAAGGATTGGGCGCGCAAGAACCAACCAAGGCAGCCATAAACCCGAGTCTAACCCTACTGGCCTTCCAATCTGAGGACGCTCCTTGTGCTTGGCGTTGAAGCTTTTTCTGACGAAGCCTGGTTTGGGATGGACTTGGGGTTGAAGTTGAGGCCCCTCTTGTCAAGCTCTGCTGGACCACAAACACAAGCATGGAACGTGCAATCTTGGCCCTGCACTTGTCAATGCTGCTCATCCCCGAGGCAAGCGATGAGAGCAAACTTTCAACTTATGATCACACTTCAGAGCTGCACTTGTTGTACGTGCTTCAAGTGACTTTCTGTAGAACACGCCCACACAAGAATGACTCCCTTTGCATGCTCTTTGCAGATCTAAATCCGATAGACATGCTGTCAAACACGCCACAAGCCGTGCGGCAGCACAGCAAGGCACATGAATCATTACTGATGAGTGCACCACTGGACAGGTGGCCGAAACACATCCGCCGTCAACTTCGATCTCTCTTAACGCGCACGAAGAATAGATGCAACAAATGCAACTTGGCAATTTGCTGAGATTAGAGAATTGAGTTCATTTCGTTCATAAATTTCTTTCACCAATAAACTTATAAGGGAGCGCGTGAATATTATTACAAGCGAGCGCAATAAGACCCCGTTAAAATAATATGAAATTAACGGGACAAAAGAATAAGCAAAAAGTGAAACGAATAATTTTATTGCAAATTTATTAATGGGTGAATTTCTAGCCCTTATTAGTACTTTATCTCCTTCATTCCCCTCTTTATAAAGATTGAACGAAGTTAGCGAATTAAAGAATGAAGAGAGAACGAAATAAAGTGAGAAAGGGTCCTAGAGGCAGTAAAGTTCATTCTATTCCTGCATTAATTTCCTAATCTCCAAGATCCAGACGTGCGGTTGTTACGGCCATAAACCCCCTTTATTAACAGGACCAGCGAATTATACTATAACAGCATGAATTTTACTGCCAAAAGGAACAAATGTCCAAAAATAATAAAATTGCAAATTTCTTAATTTCAAAATTCTGGAATTCTCTTCGCCTGTATTTTTATAAGCGCATTAAAATCGTTCCTTTCGTAGTAATTTATAATTGAATAAAGCGAAGAGAAAATATGAAATTTACTAATCCTGGAAGTTATTAAAGGACGGGCTCTTTAAGGAAGCAAAAAGCATATTAAAAACCAGATAAGTTTATATTTAAAGAGAGCGCAGTGAGCGTTACGTTAATAATCGTGTTAAAGGGCCCACCATAATGTCCCTATTAATAGTATTATCCTGTCCAAAAGTCCTAAATTATATATTTTAAGTGGGCCCGCGGGCAAAGATGATAAATAGATGAAAAATAGGAAGGGAACCAGTGATTGAAACTAGAGAATGAAAGTACGAAGTGAATCCATTATATTATAAGGTTTTCCAAGGTGAAGAGATTTCCAAAAAACCATTAAATTTAGGATTTTTACTGAGAGAAGTTCATTATATTACAAGTGAGCACTAAATATAAAACTACTGAGAGCACTTAATGCTTATATTAATATGCTCACGCGTCAATAATTCTTGCATTTCCAAGCAAAATATCCTAATTTTATTAATTTCTGGTTTCACTTTGTAATTAGCATATTATTACGGGGGCTAATGCATGAACCGTGTAAACGGGCGATATTAAGAGAATAATGGGGCCCCCTCTATAATAAAGTGAGCAAAGTGCATGAATTATATTATAAACGAAGCGAACGAAAGAAAAGCTGATTAAAATGTGTTTCAATTTTCTAGAAAGTAGTTTTTACTTCGTTTGTAATAAAATAATACTACTTTCATTCCAATAAGAAATTTTCTTCTTTCTTCATTCCTTTCCTAATTTTGCTTGTTGTTCAATTGAGTTCATGCGTCATTCATATCTTCACTCCTTATAACTCAATTAAACAAGCAAAATAAGAGAATTAGAATGAAGAATCCAGTAAAACTTCCTTTACTTCGTTCTTAATTCATTATGGTTTTCATGCGATCGCTCATTAGTTCGCTCCTTATAAAACCATATGAATTATTCTCTTCGTATTATTATAGGAGTTCTGGGGCAGTTAACTAATCCAGGATGATACGGTTGTTGTGGGGCGTTCACTTCGTTCACTTGAAATACAAATTAGCGAAGGAGTGAAGGGAGTGAGTGATCAATTGAACGAAGTAAGAACGAAACCAACCGCCGAACGAGAGAAAGGGCCCCAAAAACCCCCTAATAATATATTACGTGCGTCCTTGAGTCCTTACAATTATATTATTATGGCCTTTTTGCGGGGTTCGTTTCACTCACTTATTCCCTCACTTCGTTCTTTCACTAATTTCACGCACTCATTCACTACTTTCATTCGTTTGTAAATTAGTTCATTCACTTCGTATTATTATTTAGTATCCCGGAAAGGTGGCATGAATGACCTGGAAATGGGGTCTCAAGGGCGGATTCATTGAGGTTATGGTTACCAAGAGGCAGAGATAGGGTCTTTAGGGGTGATTCAGAGAGCGGTTAACCTTTACTTTTCCTTTCGTACACCATCAATCTCATGACACCTTAACTGCCCAAGAGCCCGCCCGTGAGGATAGGAGTGCATGAGTGAAGAGAACGTAACCAGAGAGTTGTTATTCGGTCAAGGATCTCTAATCGGTGCTGCACGTGCGGAGGGCGGCACGGCACGCAGCTGAGCTAAACAATCTCACGCGAACGGAAAGTGTACCAGAAGCACCATGCTTGACAAGTTTTAACTTTCAAAACGAAAAACCACACCTGTGGAGCTTGTGCTTTCAAACTCTGGGCCCTATGTGGAGCTGATTCCGTTGGCCCCAGTGGATGGGCGTATAGGCACTTCAAAAATAGAGGTTACCAACAACAAACTACACAGGAAAGGACAGAACCCGTAGCGCTCGCCTACGGAACGCCTGCCTACCACTTACTCAACAGGCAGGCATACTGCCAGACGCACGGGTCTTCTTCCAAGTTGCCGGGGGCGACGGCAGTCCAAACATGCCACGCAGAAAGTCGGGCCTGAGGCATTTACCCCAGAACCTTTTGGCACGCCAAAGAATGTTAATTTCGAAGGATCCCGACGGCGAGAAAGGCACGGCGCCAACCAAGGCCCAAAACAGCAGGGTGGACTAGTTTCGAAGTGAAACAGGCCGTGAAGGACGCTGAACACGTGGAAAGGGTGCGTGTGCACAAGCGGGAAAATCCGGGGCTGAGAACAACCCGCAATCAACTCATGTCCCTACAACAAAGCGTGAGTAAGTAGGCAACAAACGGCACCGCGGTCTTTGAAAACCCAGAAAGGGCAAGTTGAAACAAGCTGAGATCGCACGAAAGTTAACATGAAAACTTCGAACATTGCTGTGCATGCATGTTCGCTCCGCCACCGATTCGATTTACGGCAGGTTGGTTAAACCTAGAAGGAGAAGGAATAGAAACTCCAAAAAGAACAAGAAAATGTTGGTAAATGAAGAAAAAAGCATGGGCCACAGAAGATTTCTGCGCAAGCCAAGAAAAGCCGCAGAGCATCGGAAAGTGTGGTGGGACAGAGTTTCGCACCTCCGCAGACAAGTGGATGATCACACGAAGCCAAAACTGGGGATCTGGAGACGTGCACGCTGTTGAGGATGCTCGCCTTGTTGAGTTCCTCACGCCCACACAGGGGCCAACTGATGCTGATGATGCCGCCTTGTCGGGCCCCTCAGACCCAGCCAAAGGCCAACTGAGGCTGATGATGCTCACCTTGTCGGGCCCCTCAGGCCCAGCCAGGGGCCAACTGATGCTGATGATGCTCGCCTTGTCGGGCCCCTCAGGCCCAGCCAAAAGCCAACTGATGCTGATGATGCTCGCCTTGTCGGGCCCCTCAGGCCCAGCCAGGGGCCAACTGATGCTGATGATGCTCGCCTTGTCGGGCCCCTCGGGCCCAGCCAGTTGGCCAACTGATGCTGATGATGCTCGCCTTGTCGGGCCCCTCAGGCCCAGCCAGGGGCCAACTGATGCTGATGATGCTCGCCTTGTCGGGCTCGCACAAATAGTACGCTGGCTTGTCATTCTTGAAGCCGAATACCAAGGCTGTCGTCCTGGCATTTGCTGCGGTCCTTACCCTTAGCTGTCTTAGAGCCCTCTCCTCTAACCTGTTTAAGCCTGCTAGGCGGCTTCACAAGTTCAGCCCTGTCTGGCTTCTGGCTCTTATACCGATGCTCAGGTGACTTGTGCCTAAGCTTTCTTGTTTCTCCACGGGTCTCAAGCCACTTTCGCAGGCATGCCTTCGGCAGCACAGGAGTGTAAGAACGTTGTGTCTTTGAGCCCTCAACTCGTTGGCTACGCCAGATCTCGAGCAAGGGTCCAATGATCACCGTCTTCTTGCAGCAGTGACATCATTGGCGACTGCCTCTACTTGACACATAGGCTGACATACCCAAAAAGCAAGAACCAGGGGGAATCTGGGGCATGCTCTGCAACACTGATCCTAGTTGTTGGGGATGCCATGACAGAGATTGCATGTCAAAACCCGCTTTTCTCACCGGCCTACTCTAATCCTTGGCCCATGATCCCTGGGGATGCTTCGCCGACGAGAGCTTTGGAAGAGCCATGGATGATGTTCTGGACTGCGCAGGCCAGGCAATCGTAGGCAACATCCCAAGTGATCATGTATAAACGCACAAATACAGAAGCCACCTATGCCTATACCTACACCGAACTTTAATGCCCAACATCGACCAGTTTGCATTCAAGAGTTGAACACTTTGATGCACTATGAAACATGCGTACATCCAGCAGATCATGGACATCCTCGGCTTTCTCGCTCTAAGTATGGGAGAAAGCTGGCATGCCGAGTGCAACCAGCGCTTCTCTGCGAGCCTCGATGACCAGCTCATTCGTTTCAGTCCAAAGCATGTTGGAAGAATCGGAAGCCCGGCGAAGGGCCTCGACTAAGACTGGGCCACTGGGGCCACGGGAAGCCTCAGCAATGGTGTTCGCGGCCTCCCGGCGACACATCGGATCTGCGTGGTAGATCATCACCTCGAAGATCTTCGTCACCAACTCATTTGACAGTGTCATCTGAGATAAACTCTGCAGCGCAAGCACAACTACATCAGAGGCATCCACCAGGCACCTTTCCAACAGCTCCACGTCAGACGTGTCCAGTAGCTTGCAGTGCATCAGCAGTGTCAAAGCAGAACGCCTTACAAAGGAGTCAGAGTCGTTCATGCACTTCAGCACGCGATCTTTGATGGAGGCATCCGTGGAAAAACTCATCAGGGACTCGAGGGCTGCTGTTTTGACTTGGCAATCTGGTCGTCCAAGAAGCGACAGCAACTTCTCAGTCACCTCAACATCATTGCGTGGAGTTGTGTGAGAAAGCGCATCGATGGCCAAGCACGAAGAATAAACGCTCAAGTTTTCGTCCAGAACATTGAACAAGACCATGCTGGGCTTAGCCTCAGGAGACTTGGCAATCTCTTTGAAAAGTTTTTCATTCTCCGCCCGGTTGCAAGAGATGCTGCAATTGAACGCCATAGCGATGTCCCCAAGCTGCTTGTCCTTGAGGCCACCCAAATTTTTGGCAGTGTCTACCAGAATCTCCCGCAGATTCTGGCCGTGTCTGAAGTTCCAGCAGTAAGAGTGGATCAGCGCGTCGAGCATGACGTCGTAAGCCCCCTGATAGGCGGACTTGTCTGATGCAACTTGGCCCAGACATGTGGCTGCACATTTCAGGGCGGAAGCCTCTCCTTTGGCAATGATCCACGGGGAGCGATTCAATGTCTTCACTAGCAGAGTGATGACTTGCTCATCATCTTGTGGCACAAGTTTGGGAAGCAAGTCCATCGCACGCGCCTGGTCAGATCCCACGAGTCCCCGCTCCAAACGCTCCATGATGCTGCTCACAAAGGGAGATCTAGATGAAGAGACTTCAAGGAAGCACTCTGCCAGGGTCAGCAACGTGCGCAGCGGAACATCGTCCCCGTGACAGGCCGAGAAGGCTTCAAGGAGTCGCTCATCTTCCCTCTTCGCAAAGGCTGCAGCCGCCAGGGCCGCCCGCACCGTGGACTCGTCGGCGCCACCTCTCGAGTTAGCGAGCACGCCTACCACAGCAGACATCGCATGATCGTAATCGCGCTGGCTCACAATCGCCAGGGCCTGCAAGATCTCGTCCTGCAAGGCGTCTCTGGCATTGTCACAAGCATGTGCTTCGAGCTCCAGGATTGCTTGCAGAACTGCATCGATGACCATCTTGGGATCACAATGTGGCTCTGCATGCTTAAAAATGTCCAGGCAACCTTGACGGAATAGGCGGAAAGGGCGCTCCAGGTCATCTGCATCATTTTCCGCGTCCTTCACAAGATCTGTGTCAGACATGCGTCAGATGATCAGAAGATCAGCGATATTAACATTGCAAACTGTGGAGCACATCCTAAATGTGTTCCAACATTCCATAATGCTGAAACCATTCTTCTGTAGGCGTCTGAAACTCCCTCCGCCCTTCCAAAGGTTTCCCAACCCCCTTCACCGCTCGTAGAAAGTATGGTGGAGCCGCAGCGGCTGGTCTGGGGGCTGGTTTTGCAGTGGGTAAACCCTTGGCGAATGCTGCAGACATGGTACTTCAGGCTCTGAATGAAGCAAAAATGCTCTGCGGGCCATGTTGCTTCTGCACCAGTAGCCTCCGTGGCCGCTAAGCAATGGGGAAAGGAACAAACACACCCCACGTCGTTTTCCTCACCAGTTTCTTGTGTAGGTTTTTCTGAGCCGCAGCCTCCGAAGCTGCAGCTGGTCTCTTCATCTCAATCGGCTGGAGCGGCACACGCAAGTGTTTGCTTTACCAAAATCTCAGACCTGTTGTGCTTCATGTGTTCTCCCGAAGACTGAAGTAGTTCGACGCACAAGAACGTGTTTTATGTCGCCCATGCCCTTTTAAGATGAACAGTTTCAGAGTGTCATATCCCACCTCCTTCACCCGTTTGACTTTCCGCCTTGGTGCATACTTGCCGCCCACTTGCGACTTGTTGCAGTTCAAGCCGGTGATGATGCACTTCAGTGCTCGGGGTTCTTTCGGTCCAAGATATTCCAAGACCTCCACAGCTCCCTGGAAGGGGTTGTGGTAAAAGTTGCCAAAATGAGAAGCAAACATCTCTGCCAGCCTGTCACTTGGCGAAGGCCAGATCGCCTTCACAAGTTCCAGGACTCGTCCTGGATGGCTTGAATACACTTGGCGGGCCAAGTAAGGAACGGACCGATCCTCGCACTTTGCACCAATCACCTTCAAGGCCTCCAAGGCAGGCTCCAAGTTTCGAGCCGTCTTGAACGCCGCGAAGACGGCGTCATACTCCACCAGCAAAGTAACTTGCAAGGTTGGGGGGGTCTCCGTCTCTTTCGGAAGACTAGTATCCACGTAGGCAAAAACAGCTAGTTCACCATCAAGTTGAAGAGCCTTCACATCTCCTGGGAAGTGCACCGCCTCATAGATTTTCAAAGCCAGTTGCAACCAGTCGAACAGGTATGCGGTCAGAAGACTGCATCGTTGGAACGTCCATCTCGCATAGCCTTCACCCATTTCCTTTATGATGGCCTTCACTGCCTCCACGCTTTGCGACTGCAGATCTTTCACCTCCCGCGGGAACTGTTTCAATTGATCAAGGAAATGCGAAGGGTTCGCCATCATCTTCACACACATTTTCCATTCCGGCATCCTGGGCTTGGAGCTGGAATTCAAGAGATGATACACCATGGATGTCATTTTCTTCACAGCTTCTGGCGGCTTTGCCAGAGCTTTTACTTCCTGGATGCTCCTCTTGTCGACCTGCTCAATAGCCCGCTCCAGCTGATGTGACAGGTGGGGTACTAGCTTCTCCACCATTGTCGGACTTGCATTGTCGATCCAAAGTTTCTGACACATCACCGGAACGTTGAGCTGTTTCGCAATCTCATCTTGCAGGCTTTGCACTGAGTCCTCCAGATTGGCACACATCTCCATGCTCTCTCCAGAGATTTTCTGCACAGTCACTGCTACCTTCTCCATTGCAAGTGAGAACAGCGTGGGCCCTGCACGCCTGGGCCCGTCAGCGTATTTGTTTGCGTTTCAGGACCTCGCCCGTAGGCTGAACTGCAGGCTACTTGGAAGTTGTCACCGAAGGATTTAGAGGGGCTTTGGGGCATCTTGGGGCACATGACGGATCTTCGTGCTAACATGCTGAAGCCTAGCATTGGAGGAAACAGCTTTGGATGCTCATGCTCCTGAGCTTCAACAAATCACAAGCCAAAAATGCTGAGTTTGGTAACGAAAGATCTCTTTCAAGCAAGCCTCATCGACCGATGTTCCAGCACATTGTTTTCACGTTGATGAACATGTTCCAACTTAAGCCAAACACTTTGGTGACTCCGATGCGTTGAAAGTTTTGTTTATGACCCAGATCAAAATTATCCTGCGAATTATCCTGTATATCTTTGACCTCAAGGTGATCTCAATCGCATGAACCACAGGCCTGTGAACTGCTATGAAGCTGGTTCGTGTAGGTCCATGACGAACCATGTTGTCAAGTGGTTTTTGCTCAAACAAAAAAAACGTCGCCTCTTGACACTTGTCGTTTTCCGGATTAGTCTGGGGCGTGGGTCCAAGGAAGACCAAAACTCAAACGAATGCAGGTTGAGGGTTTGCAAACTAGCGCTGTTTTGTTGCCATTTAGATTCGCAATTCCAAAATGTTGGCAACGCCTCCTTCGCAAGGTTTTTTCTAACTTCGAAACGCAGCAAAGAAGTATTTGCGTTGCGAACAATCAAGAAGCGCAATAAACAAACCAACCTATCTAGTAGGCACACAATCCATCCTGGGCTCGGCCATCTTGTTGGTGAGACAGGTCAACGCATCACTCATACTGTACAGTACATCGACAGTACAGTACATCGACAGGAAACACGCAATCAGTCATCCTGCCTTAGGACACTTGCATGTCGCACAAACCAGAACATACGCATGCTGCGGTTGTGCCCAAGCTGAAGGGTGCAAGGGTTGCTCACTCCGCAATCCGTCGGACTGCGAAGTGGGGTGCAAGACTTGCCGGCTGAAGCACACGCAAGTAGCAAGAACATCATCCCATGACCATTCAATGCACGGCGAGCTCGCTGCTCGAGGTGAGTTGTGTGGCCTGCTGTTGAGGCCTCCGAAACCCGAGAGTGTTCCGGGTCTGGTGGGAAGCACAGAGCAAGAATGGGCGGATCAAGAGAGCCCGAAACTCATCAGAGAAGGCCCACGCCTCAATGCATTGTGACAAGGTGACAGCCGTTGCTTCTGCCGGCACGTGTATGCATGCCAAAGACCATGCAAAATAGCCGTGTGCCCTTAGCATGAACCCTGCCGCTTCACGTACGTGCCAGCTTTCATCGAAGCAACGAAGGCATATGAACATGCCAACGGGCACCTGCCTCCATTCCTACTGACGCAAGCGTGTTTGACACACACACACACACAGCATGACACATGACCGATGTCCGTGATGCGCATGGGCGCTTTCCGGAGTGCGTTGGAGTGGACGGGGAAATGTTGGTTTGATGACGAGGCACACTCAATGAACAGGCAGCGCGCAAAAACATGACAACCGAACACAAAAAAAAACACCAACCAACAACAACACCAAGCAACCGAGTCTAACAATGTGTGACACGTAGCCTCGGTAAGTCACTTTCTTTGACAACCACCGTCCATCGATGCAAATGAGCACACCCCGGGGGCTGGGGTTGAGGGTAAAGGCCCAACTCAAGTCACAACCTCGGGTCCGAGAAGGCCTCAACCCTTGCCGCAACACAGCTGAAAGGATCGAGGATCTATGTTTGAGGAAGTTCTAGGACGTTTCGACGCTAAAATGCATCAGAGTGCAGTTTTAGCTCTCACAGTAGCACCACTGCAGCTTCAAGGCCAGAAATCTGCGAGTTGGAATCGCAACAGGATGCAGTTTTTTTTGAGCTGCGGAGCTGTGGAGTGGAACAGCGTGGAACTCCACAGCTCCGCAGCTCAGAACTGAATCGTCCTAGAACCACCTTCCTCAAACATAGATCCTCAATCCTCTCGGCTGTGTTGCGGCGAGAGTTGAGGCCTAGGGGGGGGGGCGCAACCCTAACCCAGGTTGAGGTTGGGGTTAACCTGGACCCTAGCCGGGTTTTGGGAATCGAATTTAACCCGAACCCTTAGGTTGACAGAAAACCCAACTCCAGGTGGCAGGTAATAACCTGAACCCTAAACTAGGGTTAGGGTTGGGGTTAACCCTATCCGCCAAAAGCTAGCTTTGGGGGAGACTTAGCCTCCAACCCCCCTGCCTTGAGGGGGGTGGAATTTTTTATCGCTTGTGCCAAATTCGGTTTGAACCCAAAAGCCAAGATCCCACAGGAGAGGCAAAACTCAGAACGAGCACTGCATGTCCCTCTTCTTCTTTTCATCAGTGGGCGAATCAAAGATCGCATTCAATCATGTGCCGGTGCACACAGCGCGGTGCACATACATTGCACATGCGTCTCACCATACACAAACGAACCTCAAGCCCCCTTTAAGGGCGAGGCACCTGTACACACAATTCTAATGGGAGTGCCGATGGCACGCAGGGAGTTGCAGCCGCCGCGGCGGGCCCTGCTACTGCGATGCCCTGGGTGGGCTGGGCGGGTCAAAATTTTTGGCACTGAGCTGAAGAGCCAGTGCTGCACACACATCTTCCTGCACATGCAATTGCAAATCGTCGTTGGCATACCAAGCAAGACAAGCATCAGAAACTTTTGGGCTTCAAACCAAGACCAAACGGCACCCCGTTTTTCTTAGAGACAATTTGGCAGCAATCGATAAAACACCATTCGCTCGCGAACAGTAAGCTTATCGCTTGTGCCAAATTCGGTTTGAACCCAAAAGCCAAGATCCCACAGGAGAGGCAAAACTCAGAACGAGCACTGCATGTCCCTCTTCTTCTTTTCATCAGTGGGCGAATCAAAGATCGCATTCAATCATGTGCCGGTGCACACAGCGCGGTGCACATACATTGCACATGCGTCTCACCATACACAAACGAACCTCAAGCCCCCTTATTAGCCGACATCCCCAAGCATATGGCATCCAGGTGCTCCGACACATCGGAACACGGGACACTGATGCCACCCCACAACAAGTGCTTGGACACCAGCCTCGACGGGAGATCCGCACAGTTTGATGGGGAAGGAACGCGTGAGAACCAAGGGATGAACTCACACTCCACCTCCAAGCTCACGAACATTTTAAGCAGGCTTTTCACAGTAGGGGACCTGCCCCTGCATGAGATCAAAATGTCCCTGACGGAGTTGTTGTCGATGAAAGCCACAACAGGTGAGTTCGCAACCCTTTTGCCCCAAAGACGGAACGCAAGCAGCACCGCAACAAACTCAGCCTCCAGTATGATCGTGTCTTTGTTGATCTCACCCAGGAGCTTCCGGACGTCACTGTCAAGGGCGTGGGAGAAACCAGCAACCAACACACCCTTATCATCAAACAGGAGACCACCAACACCACAAGGCAGCACGGGGTCATCCTTCGAATAGGATGCATCAGTGAAGACATACCAGGTTTGCTGTTTGTTGACTTGGACTAGCCTGGGGCGTCCACTGTCCAACATGTCGACCAGCGAGGTGAAAGTATCAATGCACTCCGTCGGCAGATCAGGAGGGGCACCCCCATGGGCGTAATCAGAAAGCTGTTGCATGCAAAACTTGCTTTGACGCCCAAACAGCTGTCCACTTGCAAACTGGAGCTTACCCCTTAGCTTGAGTGCTTGAGGCGCACTCATGCGTCGGTCTTTCTGGGCCTGCTTCATAGTCTCTACGAGGAGCTGAACTCTTTTTTTCCGTGTTGCAAATGGTCACACGACCCAAGTGGGCGCTCGACAGCACTATGTCAACCCCTAACGCACAAAAGGTTTCCGCAAACGGCACATCCTTTTTCCCACCTTGGGCCAGGTCCCAACCCAACAGGGCGAAGAGCAAGGTGATTGTTTGGTGCACATTAGCCACCTGCGAGCCTCTAGCAACCGACACGAAGTCGTCAAAGTAGTGGGACCAGCAAAGGGCGAAGAAGAATGCGCCAAGGTGCCATACCGAGTTAACGGTCCTCAGAAAAGTCGACACTGACTTGACTGCCCCGAAAGGGAGTGCGTGCAGCTGAAACACCACTACCCTCTTCAGATCAGGATCCCACAGCCCAATGTACGAAGCCCAGGCCCCTGCAGGGTCCAAAGCCAGCTGCCTGTAGGCACTAACCAGGTCATAGAACCTTCCCTTGAGACTACACCCTGGTTGCGCTCTCATCAGAGACAGGCACAAGCCTGCGATGACGTCGACGGTCTGGGGGCGCACGGTCTCCGACGTCTCCACGGAGCTGTTGACTCCCGACCCCGAGAAGTCGTCAATCAATCTGATTTTCCCATCCTGCTCGATCCCGAACCGTCGTGACACTATGGCATCAGGTGGCAGCTGATCCACCTCTATGGGACCTGACAGCCAGCCCCTGTCACGCTCCTCGAGAGTTTTCGTCTGGACCTCGCGATCCAGAGCCTCCCCTTGAGACTTGATGGTGGACAAAAGAGCCGCCCTAGAGGTGGGCGCATCTCTTTTGAGTTGGTCAACGGTGACTGACGCCGGCTTGAACTTCGGGGCAAACACGCCTGTATCGGGCACCGGGCCTCCCAGGTTAGTACCCGAGATTACTTCATCGAAGATGGACACATCGTCGTAGGAAGCCTCAACCATCATCGCCTTCCACAAGAGGAGACGTTTGGGCTTTAGGATCGTAGCGACCTGTTTATGCATAGAGGCCTTCAGCGCTTCTTCCTCGCTCCTGAGGTCCTGCGCAAGCTTAAGCCACTTAGCAAACTGGCGCGCTCTCAACCCGCACAGCTCCGACTCGGACAACGAGGCATGGGTGCACACAGCATCTTTGAGGACTTGAGGCAGGGAGACCTCTAGGGTTCTGGGATGGCCGGCTTTAACCGCCTCGCGGACAAACTGTTCCGGGGAGAA